GTGTGTGTATATATATATATAATGATGTAGATGAGAGAAAGATTGTTATCTATTCAAAATTTTCCATAAAAATAAATGAATCTTTTTTTGGGACGTTCCACAAAAATAAGAAGTCTTTTTTTTAGAATGAAGGGAGTATTACTTATATCATCCGTTTCACCCGCAGAGTGATGAGTGATGTATCTAACAGATGTTGAATAAATCGGGTGATGAATATGGAGTTGATGGTTAGATGAGGGTGGAACTCCATCCAATCAAAACTATCCGTTAGCATCCTTAGAGTATTGGAAGTTGTCATTCAAAAAGTTGGTATTATAAATTAAAACTGGCCCATGGAGATTAAAAAAGCTCCAATTTATGTTTACAATTTTAATAAAGTAATTTTTAATTCAATATATATAAAAAAAATTTGCTGTAAAATTTAAAAATAAAAAAGACATGTTTGGTCAACAACACTGCGACATTTGTCAAAGAATGAGAGTTGTAACTCAAAACACTTTTTTGTCAAAAACGAAATTTAAAAATAAAAAGGATATTTTTTGTCAAATATACTGCGACATTTGTCAAACAATGAAAGTTCAAAACGCTTTTTTTGTCAAAAATGGCCCATGCAGGTTTCGAACCTGCGACATTTGCGTTATTAGCACAACGCTCTAACCAACTGAGCTAATGGGCCTTTTTGTTTCTCACGGGTGCGGTAACATCTTGTCCAAAAAAGCGCCAAACGATTCATCTAGGAACACTATCTTTCTTCAGCCTACAACGAACTATACGGAGTAGATTAATTTATGCAGCATATGCATGTTACTCCGTATTAATTAGCACAATTCCTGAATAATCCTCCAACCCTTTCCTCCTTTCCAAATACTTCCTCCGTCCTATAATGATCTTCCCGGTTCTGTTTACGAAGTTTGACCAACTTTATTTTTAATTCAATTTATTTGATTGTAGGTGTAAAATTAAAAAAAAAATTTATATATTTAAAAACTATATCAAAAGTTCTACAAAACAAGTGGTGACAAGACTATATTATTTTATCAAATACCTAATGAAAATAAGTAAACAAAGTGATTAAAGTTTGACCATCTGAATAGTAAGTGGGAAGAACATTTCAGGACGGAAGGAGTAATAATTCACATTGCACATGTCATTTTTATTACAAAGTACATACATTTTTTAATAACATGGTTTAAAGTTATACTGAATTTAGAATTTATATATGTTCCAGTAACAACCCAAAGCAAATATATATATACATATATAATACTGCCCCTTTAGTCAAAGCTAGGTTATATGGTACGGAGTAAATAAGATGAAAGGCAAGATCAAGGTGATACAAAGTACCATAAATTATTGATGAGTCTTTTGAGTACAAGTGAGAGAAGTATGACAATCGTAGCCCAGATACAATACAAAAAAGGTAAATCGTTTAAGAATTAATCTAACCTATAGTACAACTACCTTTCAAAAAATAAATCTAGCCAAAAACTATGATAGTGTAACTTTTCTCTCTTTTATCCTAAAAATCAGATCCCTTTCTTTAGTGGTCGAGTCACTCGAGTGAGGGGGTATGCATAGGGATGACAATTTTATCTGAATCCTACTTTTTCCGACCCGACCGATGTATATAATATCCGAATTCGACCGAAAAAATAAATATCCGAAACCGACCCGAAGATTTTAAAACTGAACCCGACTTTTGTCGGGTCGGTTTTCGATAATTAAATTTGACCGACCCGACCCGCACCCGACCGACCTGATAATTAACCCGAAATAAAAGGTCTTTTTAAAATATAAAAAAACATTTTTCAATTAAAAGTCTTTGGCTTACGGGAGTTACCAGTTACAGACATGAAAAAGATTTGTGAAAACTTGTTATATTTATGTGTGTTGTTTCTCTTGTGAAATATTTGTGAAAACTTGTTATACTTCCATGTTTTGGTTGTTATTTTGGACACATCTTTTTTAATATCTTAATTTTACGATGTCTTTGAACGTTCAAATGTTTTTTATGTATTGGAATTCTAATTATATCATTACATGCATTTATTATTTTATCATTATTTTAATAAAAATCATTACAAAAAACTGATTTATTAGGATATTGGTATGGTTAGTCGGTCGGGTCGGTCGGTCAATCGGGTTGGTCGGTTTTCAGGTCAGGTTAGGCTTAGGTTTTTGTCAAATTCTCGGGTTCGGTTGCAGTTTTGGGTTTCGGTTTAGGCAGTCGGGTTCGGGTAGAAATTTATACACAACGGTTCGGGTTCAGGGGTATATCCGAACCGAACCCGACCCATTGCCATCCCTAGTATGCACAGGCTCTAATATGACTCGTACATTTAATCCTCTTCTTATTCAACCCCACACATAAGATTACTTCAGACATTCGGATACTGAATGGACACACAACAATCAACACATTAAAATGTATACACTCAATGTCATTCTGTGACATTTCACAATTTTAATATTGATATTTAAGACCCTCTCTGTTTATTTTTATTCATTCTACATTCATAAAAAGAATCGCGTTAGAAATAATATGGACTACACAATTTTTGTTGAGCATATAGATTAAATTTTATTTATTCAATTTCAAACTTTGATTTCGAAGGTAGTAAATGTTTCTCCAAATAAACAAATAAGGACCATCTCCATCTTCCAAATAGAAATCATTTGAGCCAATGACAAATAACACAACAAATGTTGGTAATAAAATATTATTGCCAAATGTTGGAAAATATTATACGGAGTAGAATTTAAAAAATGTGAACCAATCTATATGCTGTTTTAGGAACCCATACCTACCAAAGAACAATGGAAATAAACCCATATAAAATGTCCAAAAAAAAAAAAGAACTGGCCCATGCAGGTTTCGAACCTGCGACCTTCGCGTTATTAGCACGACGCTCTAACCAACTGAGCTAATAGGCCGATGTGATTTTTCACTCATACTTTTAATTAATAACTATTAATCGCTTCTTCCTGACTTTGACAAAATGCATCTGTTTGGTTGATAATAATCTCACTTGGAAATTGGATTATCCCATTGTACGGAATAACGTTGTAGTAATATCATTTTGAGTGGGTAGAGGTTCAAATAAAGTTTTGATTGCAAATGGTAAAAGTATTACTAGTATATTTTTATTGTAAAAAGATTAATTATATCCAATATTCTGAAAAAGCGACATGTGCTGAATGTGCATTTAGTTTTGATTTGATCTGATTGTTATTATATTTAAAAATGTTTTCAATCTAGTACATATTTTTGTGCTACCAAACAACAAAATTGAAATTATTATCCCCAATTCTAATTTCATATTTTGAATTTCGTGTACCAAACGGGGAATAAGGTAAATCATTCCAATTGGTTTCACCAGCTCAGCAGCCCAATCTCAATAGCATCATATCAGCACAATATGTTGAGGAAATTATTTTTTTTCCCTCATGCACTCAAAGGAAAGGCATGTCATTATCATATGTTTGGTATGTACTAACTCATATTACAACTTTTAAGTACACCTTAAATAAATCAAAAACAACAAAACACACACAAACTCACACCCAAATCTAAGCTTCCAACATTTCTAAGCACCCTCTCATCATCCTCATTAATATGTATAATTAACAACATGTTTAGGAGTAATTCATATGTTTATATTGTGAGCAATCCTCCCCCTCAATGGACACATGATCGTCATCTGCAAAATTCATGGCGGGCGTATATCTATACATATTTAATCTATATGCCTTGATTAGTTCAAAGATGAAAATATAAAGCTATATAGGGCTATCTCTCACTCTGATTTGTTGTCATCTTCAATGCTATCGCTTCCGCTGGTAAATGTTCTTTGAGAGCTCGCCGCTAACTGAAGGATACCCTGAGGAGAACCAGACTGTGAACTGCTCTGCTTTGAAGATTCACACTTCTGGTGAATGGCCATACACATATTATTATTATTATTGTTATTATTGTTATTATTATTATTATTATTATTATTCTCATTATTATCAGTACTAGTGGGAGTAGTAGTAGTTGTAGTATGGCCCAATATGACAATGGATTTATTCCCCGGGGATGATGAATGTCCGGCTGGTAGTCTTTGAACATGGAGTCGATATTTCTGTAAGGAAAGAAATGAAAAAAAAAATGTTTGTCATGATTCATATCAAAGATGAGGAAGGGCACATTGGGGAAAAACCAATTGGAAAGTTGGGTACTTACTTGCAAATGACTCTTCACTTCATCATTGGTCAGACCTTCCACTTGCATCAGGTCTCTAATCTGCTTAGGAGTGGCAACTGCAATGAACCAAAAGGGTCTGTATAAAGTTCAAATTTTTACCCCTCAAGAAACCAATTCAAGCCCATATCTTGAAGTTGCCTTTGTGTTATTATTATTATATTACTCCTCACCATTTTGGCCTGGAACTTTTCAGAATACCATTTGGAACCAAGTTAGGGCTTGATTGGTAAGGGTCCCTTTGTTAAGGGTCATTTAGAACACTATTTTGCAGGGTATTACTGGGTTTGTTGTGCATTTGAACACACCCATTTCAATCAAATAAGTGGAAACCTAATCATTTAAGTGTAAGCAGATAATGCCTCTACAAAGAATTACCAGTACCAGTGAAAAGGAATAGAGTTCCTTACCTTGCGGACCACCAAGCCGTTGCAAGGCATCGACAAATGTTCTATGCAGCTCCGGCGACCAGCACCTTCTTTGCTTCCTAGATGACTGAAGCAGCAGCTGGGTACTACCACTTGAAGTGCCACCGCTGTAAGGTACTAGTTTCTTTATTTTTGAACTAAAACGATCCATTACTGCAGCGTCTTCTTCTTCGTTCTTGATTCCCGGTGTACCAAGAGAAAGGGATGGTGATTCTTCCATGGGAAACCTATAGTTCCCCTTGAGAGGAACAAATTGTGACAGTTCATCAGCAGACATAATAAATTCCAAGGAACCAATTCAACCGAAAACTCAAACTTATGATTCAATAGTAAAACAGATTGCATATAGTGGTTTTACCATTGTTCTGAGATCTGTTGTTAGGCCGTGTTTGGCAGTGCCGGAGTCTGAAATGCTGCAACCCTTATCGCCGCCGTCCCAGAGCTTAAAAGAGCTCGTCCATTTTACCTTTTCTTCACAGTCTTTCTCCTTGACATTCTCAACCTTGTTCATATCATCACCATCATCATCAACTGGAGTCTTCTTCACTGGAAGAAATTCTTCCAAGACTGGTTCACCCAATGACTTCCTACACCTCTTAGACTCCTCCTTCAACACTGTAATCGCTGCAATCACAGTTCAAGAAAAGCAACAGAATCCGTTAAAAGTTTAAATTTTTAACGCCCCATTAACATCTCTCTGACTTTGATTTCAATTTCCAACACCAAATCGAGAAAGATTCGGCCCCGAAACGGTAAAAAAATCGCACACACAAACGGTAGAAATACCATCGGCGAGGAGAAACATGCACAGAGGCAGTTCGCGCTTGAATCCGTCGATCTTCCGCATCTCGTCTTCGAGCATCCTCAGGCGATGCTCGATCTTCGTCAGCCTCTCCGAAACGTCGCCGATCATTGAAATTTCACCCAGAAACTCAGTCACCGTCCGGAGAACGAGAGGGGGTCTGGAATCCAATCGGAGCTCAGGCGAATTAGAATCCATTTCCTTCTTTCTTGTTCTTCAAGATTGAACTTTTGATTCTGTCGTGGATCTTCTGGGCGTGTGGTGGGTATAAGCCGGGGAAATGGAAACCAGCTAGCTGAGATTGAGAATCTTTATACGGAGTGATACAGAGAAGAAAGGAAAGAAAAGAGAGAAAAACGGGTGGATGAAGGAAGAGCAGGGCAAGATTCTGCAAGGAATTGACCGAGAAGAAAGGGGAAGGGGGTGGCGATCAGTATTTGGAAAAGGGGACTTTCGCCGCATATTTGATCCGTTGGAGCATCTAGATTCCGATCCACATTCATGAATGGTCTATATTGCCCTTTCAACTCAAAAGATTCTCATTTTTATTACTCCCCCTATTCCGTCTTTCGGAGTACTCGCATTAATTTATTTAATAAATAAAAAGAAAAATTCTCATTTTTTCCTGTATTATTCATTCGCTACAACTTATTTTTGTTGTTGAGGAAAGTTAGAAAAACTAAATCAAAACATATTCAATAACGATCCTATCTTTTTTGAAAAAAAATTGACAACATAGTTTTAAAAGTTATACTCCCTCTCGAAACTTTGTTCGTGATAATTAAATATTACGGAGTATTTAATTCTTTATTCGGTAAAATTGTTTAGTCACGTCACGTCTTGCGTTTGTAGATTTTTTGATGTACTAGAATATTTTTTATTGAAATCGTTTTTAATTATATAAAATTAATTTTTTTATTGTACACGCACTTAAAATAATATAAATTAAAAGACTTCAGTCAAGCCTCGTAAACAAAAACGAGAAGAAAAATATCAGGATGGAGAGAGTATATATATTATATAATATTAAATTAAAATAATCTCGCTTAATGAGAACGTATTGTTTGTCGTTCAACAAATTATAAAGTACGATTATAATGAGATTATTTCATAAAAATTATATAAATTGAGTTTTACAATGTTTTTGGGTAGACAACTGGTGTTCCGGGCCCGTCTTTGAGAAAATCCGACTAATCCTGATCGATCAAGTTTGCGAATTAAGGTTGAAAGTGTCGCACCAATTGGTGGGATTTGAACACATGACCTTAAGGTCACCCGTTGATATTGAGTTTTAAATTTAATAACGTATTTAAGAAACCCATTTTTGATATGGGTTAATATCATTTAAAAGAAATATAATCATGTAACAATTATAAAAAAATTATATAATAGTAACATTGATTAATATTTTAATATTTATTTTGTGTCTCTAATGATAAATGCAATCTCTTACCCTTAAACAAACCCTTGTTGTCTTATGTAGAGCAGTTTTTTACTTTCAGTTTGTATATCGCTCTGCTAATGAGGCAGCACATGTGTTGGCGCGAGCTTCTCATTCTTCTCCGAGCTTGGGTGAATGAGTTCATTTATTCTCAGATTTCATCATTCCATTAATTTAATGCAATCTTTGGTTTCAAAAAAATACTCCCCCCATCCGAAATTAAGCTGCATATTTAATATTTACAAGTCACGTTCTTAATCCATTTTCGCAACGTATTTGAAAAAATAATTTAGTCTTGTCAACTCTTGTTTTATAAAACTTTAGGTGTAGTTTTCTAATATATAAGTTTTATTTTTTAATTTCTTACCAATATTCAAATAAATTAAATTGAAAGTATTTTCAATCAAATTCGTAAAAAATAAAAAAAATAAATTAGGATAGAGGTTATATTTTATTGGAGAATGCTAGAGATACTAGAGTGGTATATCCGATGTGTACACCAAAACATTCACACACAGACACTCAATGTCTGTGTATTATACAGATATTCAGCATAGGTGCATGTTCGTAAATACTTTGGTGTACAAATGAGATATACCACATGGGTTACCCATAACTTTTCCCATATTTTAAGACAAAATCATACTCCTTCCGTTCCACAAAACCCTTCCGGTTTTGACTTTGTGGAAAAATAAGAAAAATGTAATTTTGGTTGACTTTCCAATTTTGTCCATGATGTGATGGAAAAAAGCAAGATGTGATAGTTTAGTTATTAGTAAAAAAGTATGATGTGATAGATGGGGTATGAAAAAGTAGGGGTAAAAGTGGTTTTTTAATAGAAAGTGGAAGTGTTTTGTGGAAAACAAAAAAAAACGAAAGAAGAAGATTGTCACAATTTGATCTTTTAGTTAAATTGTAGAATTTTTTTACTACAAATTAAATATAATTTAAAATAGTAAATATTATTAAAATTTGATATTTCAAAATAATATTTTAAAATAAATTAAATTTTACTAAATTTACATGATAATTAAATATACTTTTTCTATATTTTACAGCAAAAAAAATGTCCGAGCTTGACAAAAAATGTTAAACTGTGGCGATTTTTTGGAGAGGAAGAGAATATGAGATGGGTGGGGAATATGGTAGATTTGGGAGATAAGGATGCCAAGGAATCATATCTTTGTCTTGTGGTTGTGGCGGAAGGGAAGCTGTATTAGTCCGTACGTTATATGCAAATAACTCAAACAAAGAATAATTAATTGGATCCAAAGAATTAGCATGTTTTTTTTACCGAATTAAAAAAAAGATTTGGTGCCATTGAATCTAGTTCGGTTAATTTGTTAGAAATATGCTCTAATATTATTATGTACCCCATTTTATATACCACAACTCACCCACAAATGTTATTACCTCGTTCATTAAATATTTATTTAGTTTTGATTTTTTACAGTTAAAACAAATTTTATGCTGGATCTAATTTCTACTCCCTCTGATCCAAAATATTTACAACATTTGTTTTTTTCAGCAGTCGCGAAAATTTTTGTTTATTTATACGTTTTCAGTGGTTATTTGATAAAATAGAATATTTTTGACACCTCTTATTTCGAAGAACTTTTCATGTAGTTTTTTGATATTTAATTTTTTTTATTTTCTATACCAATATGTAAGTAAAATGAATTAAAAAAACTTGATATTTTACCTCGGGAATACAAGTGTGGCAAATATTTAGGGACGCAGAGAGTACCATATATCTACATATGAACAAGATAAACATTTTTTATTACATAAAGAAGTATTTTTTTTAAATAAAAAAATGATTTTTTATGTGAGAAGATCCATAAAATGATATGCACCGGATGGTGCACCGAAGAAACACTCTACCGTTGATTATTTTTAATCTTAACTTATAATTAAACAACGTATACACATATGTAATATTACTTAGATAAAATAATACGGAGTATTTTAAAAGTATTTTATAAAATGAATATAATAAAATTATTTTTGTATCAATATCTAATACTTCATCCGTCCTAAAATGTTCTTCCCAATTACTTTTCACGCGGTCAAACTTTAATAACTTTCTTTACCTATTTTCATTACGTATTTGATAAAATAATATAATCTTGTCACCACTTGTTTTGTAGAACTTTTGATGTAGTTTTTAAATATGTAAATTTTATTTTTTTATTTTATACGTACAATCAAATAAATTAAATTAAAAATAAAACCGATCAAAACTCGTAAACAGAAACAAGAAGAACATTATATGATGGAGGGGGTACAATTTTTATTTAAATCTTGATCAAAGCTTTTCAATTTATACGGAAAAAAGTCAAAAATAAACAAATAAAATTAATATTTAATGGTTCTCACCACATCAGCACTGGGTTGGAATCTTCAGCCAAAAACGTTTCCAGTGGTTGCACAACTGGTGGAGACACACAGCAATTCCCCAAATATTCCATCGTAAATTACATGGCCCCGCCTCCCCCTATTTTGTAGGCCTTTATTTATTTTATTTTAATGGCCCTCCCTCCCCCCAACCACCTTTTCTCAAATTGCAATTCGCAACACGCTTAACTCAAATGCCAATTTCTGTCCGTCCAAAAGGTGGAATAGCCCACTCCAGGCACCCCTACCCCCTTGCCCGACAGGAATGGTGGAGGATGTAAATCATAGTGACTCAGTCGGCCAAAAACGCTAGACCCGTGCCCACCGCGCACAAGGAGCCTCGTCACCCTTTATGAGATTTTTGGATAGCTCCCACACTGCCGTTTGCGGGATTCGATCCCTGGTCATCGGTCCAAGATTTCACGCTCTTGACCAACACTGCCACAATGCCAATTTCTTGTTTCATGGAGCCGGGGCGTTAAACACCATCCCCTTTCCCGTTGTTACACTATTATTTTTGCAGCGTCAAACGTTTGACGCAAATTGTAGGCCAAAATTCGGTCGTTGGATCGGAGTCCCCCCACACCGCTTTTTTTTTCCGTTATCGCACCGTGTATTTTTTTTATTCAATGAATGTAGTTTTCTTCATTAATGGATATAATTTTTTTATTTAATGAATGTAATTTTTTAAATTTAATGAATCTAATTTTTTCTAATGAGTGAATGTAATTTTTAAATTAATGAATGTATATGTTGTTCATGAATGTAATTTTTTTTAACGAATAGAATTAAGAAATTCAATTTTAGAAGATGCGTATTTAAAATGTAAAAAATGAAGGTTTGGAGCCCCAGTTTGAACCACTGGTGTTTCAAACCCCGGGGCTTCAAGACCATTTCCAGTGCTCTTAAGAGTGGATAACATGGTCCAATCCTTATTACTCTCTTTGCCATAGATTAATTATTTTTTCATTTTGACTCCATGAAGATTTAGCAAAGAAATATTCAAAAAAGATGTTGAATAGGGAAATAATGAACGCTGAAATTCGTACAAGAGAAAAAGAATCACTTTGAACCAAATAATTTTTCCTAAAAACAAAAAATAAAATAAAATATTTAGTTATTTATTTTGAGACAGATTAAAAAGAAAGCGGGGACGGAAAGAGTGATATTTAAAGCATGTGTGTTTTGTGTGTGTGTTTGTCTACTACCTCTATCACCTTTCATTATTGATTTCCTTTTGGACTTTATATAGCCGTCCCCATCTTCTCTAATTTCCACATGTTTTAGAACCACATATTACATTATTTTGTTGATTATGCTATATGTACCCCAAGATTTGTACCCCAATTTGTACCCCGTAGTTTTGCACCAAAATTTTGTGTTAGTGTAAAACTAATTTTTGTTAAACGCACCAACATTTGTGTCCGTGTAAATTTTTATTAACGCACCAACACTTGTGTCGGTGTAAACCATCAAAATGTTTGTGCAAACCTGTGGTGTACAAATGGGGTATATTTGTTGGTGTAAGTGTAGCATGGTCCTTATTTTGTTTTATCAAACGATGCGACGTACGAAACGATTTCGTACAAAGTATTTTTTCAATCTTATGGCGGGTTTTGTACGTACAAAACCACTGTGAAAAAGATATACGCGTTATAAGAATTGTTGTACAAAAAATGTCGTAATAGAGCGGATTCAATTGTCTAAAAGGAAAGGAAAGCATTTGGTAAGTAAAAAATGACTTGCATTCTGCTCATGGAAGCATAATATGCCAGAGCTACAAATTTAACCAGAGCAGAGGAGAGAGTCCAAATGACCTAAATCATCACTGCAACCAGTCAGTTTCAGACAAACTGGCAACGGGTTGATCTCCTCCCGGTTTCAGACAATCTTTAAGATCATCAAGAATGAAGGGCTCGACCAGTTTCCAGAACCACGTCGTCTTATCTCCCAGAAAACCTATCCAAAACTCGTCCCCCTTCCTCTGCACCTTGCAATCCAACGACTTTGCCTTAAATGTCTTCACAACGTGTTTGACCCCATCTTTGCTCCCTTTCAATCTCAAGAGAATATCCCCTGAGGGCGTCCTGTGCCCTGAGTACATGTACCAGTACGCAATGACTCGGGGTGACATCCATTTGTGGATTAGTTTCGGAATAGTGGGAAGCCCGTTTCTCCAGAACTGGTCGGCGTAAAAACCAAAATAAGAATGTGAAACGGTGGCAAACACCCAAGGAACATCATTGGCTAGCGGGTTATTATGAGGACAGGCTATCCACTCGCGATACAAATCGTACACACGTGTCCTTAGAACTGAATGATGTTTCAAGTTTTCGTCGAACTGGAAATGGACTAAATGTTTCTTCTTCTCCGCATCTGATTTCATTTGCGCCCCACCCAACAACAACCCCATTATAACCTCTCTCTGTTCTATGCTGAGTTTTTGCCTTATGGGCTCTTTGACTTCCACTTGTTGTAAACTCAGAACAAAACTTAGCTTTTCTGTCAAGGATGAATCGATATTGTATCTCTTCAGGCGCATCATCTCATACACCTTTTCAGCTTTAATGTGTTCCCCATGGGAGAGGTAACCCCTCAGGGTGTTATTACAGCAGGGAGCATTGACACCAATCGAAGGGTTTTCAGCCATCTGATTAAAGACTTCTCCAGCCTTTTTAATGTCTCCATTCTCAACCAATGACTCCAAGTACAGGCTGAAGATGGTCTGGTGTGGACGGCATCTTTTAAGACACTGAAAGAAGGTTGACTCCAGCTTCTCGTGTGAGCCTGAAATGAGATACATCTCCATCAGATGTATAAATGAAGGCCTCAGTGGACCCAAACCGCTGTCGATGAACTCTTTCATGATTGATTCTGCCAGTTCTGGCTGTTGAGCTTTTGACAATATCTCTGTGATTTTATAGTACGCTATGGCGGGAGTGGGACACAAGTCCTTTTGCAGTCCCCTAAATATTTCAAATGCTTTCATATGCTCTCCGATCTTTGCATAAGTCGACATTCTATACACAAAAGCTTGTGGGGAAGGACTGGAATTACTAGAGGAAAGAAGTTTTGTCCAAATTCTTTCAGCTTCTTCCACATCTCCATCCTTGGAGCAAGCTCTCAAGACTGACAGAAGTACATCTGTGCCCTCTTTGATGCCTCTCGAACACATTTCCTCTCTCAGTGATGCAATTCTATCCTTGTCTATTAAATCTTGAAAACTGTGAAGCCATATGAGGCCACGAAAGATATCTTGGTGAATCTGAAGCCCAAAGGTTGTCAAGTTTTGGTAAATGAACTCTGCTCGTTTCAGATTTTCTGCGAGAGGACCTCCTTTTTTCCCCACTAGAGCTTTGAACAAAGAGTTGTGCAGGCTAAGATGAGGTTTGTAACCTCCCAATTGGATCATGCGGCTGTAAATGCTAAATGCTTCCTCCACCAGTGGTTGACAAGATGAACTAAGATATGCAACAGTTAAAATATGGAAAGTTGACTCATCAGGCACTCGTCCTTGATTAAGTATGTCATCATAAACCTCTTGGCATTTCAAGTGCTTGCCATCCTTACCCAAACAATCTGCTAGCCGTGTTGCTAGATTGAAATCAAATTGATACCAACGTTGCATCATCATCCATTTGTATACCTGAAATATGCACGCAACACATTAAATATTTCGGGCCTGTTTTGTAGAATACAAGACTTTTCCCATCTTATATTTGCATTAACCATGTTGAAATACATGTTGGAAAACACAGATTTTCTCCGCTCAGAAAAACATCTAAGCTATTTAACAAACAGAAAGCCTTAAAAAACATAAAACCTAAAAGGTATTTACCTTCTTTAGTAGGATATAGCTGATGTCCAAATTGATGCAGTACATCTCTAGCACGAATAAGGAATGCAACAAAGCAATAGACACGAAAGATGTGGCAAAAAGGCATAAACACAACAAAATGCAGTTTTTGGTTGATCACTGATGACCCATGCTTCATTCTAAAATACAATTGAAAACATTTTTTTGAAAAGTATGCTAAACTGTGTCGTTCTTTAAGAACAACTCAATCCCTTCTCCGATGTTGCTTTCTATGTCCTTAGAGTTCATCTTTTATTTTGTTGTTGCTTTCTATTTGTTTCTTCTTTTTTTTGAAGCTCAATATGTTAAACGGTTCACGGTAGGAGGCTCCCGGCCCCTCCAAAAAACAAATCTAAGAACTACCTACTAAAACATTTTCACAGCATGAAGAATTTGCATCATGCATTGCCAAATGCCTACCTGGCAATTCATTCATCAAGTTACTAGGTCTTGCTTTTTATACTCCGTATATAATTTCACTAAAATATAAATTTCAAATGTAAAAAGAAAGAGCTGATCAACTTCACTTCAAAGCCAGTACACTGATATTCTTGCAAAATAGTTATGAAGATCATCTTAGTGCAATGATGTTCTTCATGCACCAATCCATCATAAATTCTCAAATTCCATGCGTAAATGCAGCAGACAGATTACCAACCATACAAATAGAACATATGTGTTAATGTCTGAGTAATGATGAGCAGGCAGTTCTTACTCTGAAAGCAATCTCATTTTCCTGAATTTGCAAACAATGATAAACAACATACGTAGAATCTTCTTGTCTGAGCCACTCCCTCTGGGCATTGAGAATCCGAACCAAATCATTATGTTTTTTCCCAGGAAGCTCCTTGCAAAGCCAACCCAATCTTGACCGACGCCACTGCTCTGGGAGGTCCTCAAGCTTCTTGACATCAACTGAGGGCGAGTCAAACGGCTCCAACTCGGTCGACTCAAATGAGCTATCAAAATGGAAACTTTCCCTCCCAGTGTTGCTTCTCGACAACCCCTCCTCATGCCGGAAAGATTCCTCGGACTCGTACACTAGCTGTTTGAAGAAAGTACTAGCCGAAACAGGGCACGTAGAGAAGTAAACGTGGCTACGAGGATACGGTCGGAGAGAAGGAGACGTTGCAGAGGAGCTTGAGAGTAGAGACGCCGCGCAGAAGAGGCCTCGAAGGCCCCCATGGGCACTGTGACGACGAGCGTTACGGAGAACGGAGAAGGAGACAGTTTGGAGGAAATTGGATGCTGCGCGCATGGAAGAATTGTGTGATACAGTGTTGGTTTTCTTGATTATAAGAACATCAAAAGACACCGACGGTGAGCTGCGCTGCTGTGCGGTCGGGGTTGTTCAGTGGCATTTGCTCGGCGACCCACGGCGGCGATTCCCGGCCAAAAGAGATAAATTGAATTTGATACTTTCTCAAATAGGGCCAAGCCTAGGGCTTTGACATAGGGTACTCAAGAAACCCAATATTTTTTGCCCAATAAAAGCCACACATTTTTTTTTCGGTAAAAAAAAAGCCACGCGAATTCATAAAGAACTGAGGGAATTCAAATCTCAAGATTCTGTTTAAGGCTCGCCCTCTGTCTCTTCTTCGGTTCTTCCTCATCTCAAATGGGGAAGAAACTTTCAGAATTGAATCGAATTTGAAAAAGAGCACGAAGAACTCACAGGAGGAGGAAGCGGAGAAAATGGAAATTTCAATTTTCAGCTGAGTTTCTTCATCAAATCAGAACGGATTTTTACTACTGTTGAGAGGTTTTGTGGAATCGAATTGCTGCGAGACTTCGATCCCAAAAAGAATAACTGATTTCCAATTCTTGAAGAAATTCATTTGTTAGGGATTCCACAGACGCCCCAGTATTTGCTTCAGCTCTCAAGAGCATTTACTTGCACAACAATGGCGGAAAATAAGTACAATGTCGAAGCTGCAGAGATTCTCGCCAACGAGGCAATGGTATTTTCTGTCTTATTTTCCATATGGAAGAATTGTATTTTGAACTATATAAGAGTTATTTATTGGTTTTTTTTGCTTCAGCGCTTGCCTATTTCCCAGGCAATTCCTATCTATGAACAACTTCTCTCTACTTATCCTACTGCTGTAAGCATCTCTAGCCTTCTTCTTCTTCTTCACTATTTCCTGTAGTGTAGTGATATTGAAAATGCTCAGTAATAGTATAGATGCTTAGTTACTGATCATCTAGCCGCTTTTTCCATAGGCAAAATTTTGGAAGCAGTATGCTGAAGCACACATGGCTGTAAATAATGATGACGCCACGAGGCAAATTTTTAGCCGCTGCCTATACACCTGTCTACAAGTTCCTCTTTGGTATGCTCACCGGTCCATTTTACCTCGGAGTAGATTTTATGTTTTGTGGCGAGCATTCTCTGTATCTGTACTATGGGTGGTTGCTTTCCAGGCGATGCTATATCCTTTTTATCAGGAAGGTCAATGACAAGAGGGGAACTGATGGTCAAGAAGAGACTAGAAGAGCTTTTGAGTTCATGCTTGACTATGTTGGTATGTATACTTATTATATTCATTTATGTTTCTTGGTAATAGATAATAAGTGCGAGCTGAAGATTATGTAATGTGATAAAGTTCATATATATACATTCCATCTCACATTATATCTTCATCTACTCCCATTTTAGCTTCATCCGCTGTTTCGTGGTTCATATAGTTACACCAAACATGCATAGACTTAAATGTGAGATATGGCATATGTTATTGTGATCTATTTGGCCCATGTGATTGTTTGTTTACATGATTTATGCACATGCAGCTACATGCTAAATTACAGTATAGTTCTGACTTCTAACTTATGATGTCATTAACTAACAGGAACAGACATTGCGTCCGGCCCTCTTTGGATGGACTACATTGCTTTTTTGAAATCCTTGCATGTATGCTAGTAATTTGACATCCACATAATGTGTTTTTAACTTTTAAAATCTATTCAGCAATCATATGACGCTGTTACAGGCTCATACTATACAAGATGAATCTCAAAGAATGACTGCAGTAAGGAAAGCATATCAAAGAGCCATCGTTACACCAACTCATCATGTTGAACAACTTTGGAGAGACTATGAGAACTTTGAAAATACAATTAGCCGTGCGCTGGTTCGTTGACTTGACCCATTGTGTTCCCTCCTAGCTGAGAAAATTTAGCACATGCCAGTCTTTTGAGATTTGGAATTAATTGTAAAATTTTGTGCAGGCGAAAGGTCTTATATCTGAATATCAACCAAAATACAACAGTGCAAGAGCTGTTTACAAAGAGATGAAAAAGTATGTTGATGAGATTGACTGGAATATGCTCGCTGTGCCTCCTAGTGGTTCTCCCAAGGCAATTTCTTGCAGCATATTCATATAGAAATCTTTCCAACTTTTTCTTGGTTCACTTTGGGAAAACTTTTAATTCCAACAGAACTCTCAATAGAAATGAACCATTCATTAAACCTGATGGTTAAGACTTTAGATATGCCTGAATGCAAAGGCTTGCAATTTGTGGCTTCTATGTAATTGAACATCCTAAGAGTAGAAAGTAGAAAAAGGTGATATAATATTAAGTTGGGTATTGCTTTGTTGTCTTTAAGTTCTGGTCTAGTGAAATTACCAAAACCATTGAGTGGCAATTAGATGGACTACTTTATGGGTGCTTTTGGTGAGATGGATGATTGGTAAGTAAGGTCATATTTCAATTGGATTTATCCAAAGCAATATACTCGTAGTACATGTGATTTCATGGCATATACCGAGTAATGCCATGTTGAATACGGAGTAAAATTTAATTAAGGTCATTTGTATATTTCAGTATGGATGCATTGGTTATAATGAGTGGCTAGGTTATAGGATAAGGAACTAAATGTAGATTGGAAGTCACCATGGATTTAGTTTTTGATTGGATAGAATATCCAAGTCATCCCAACAATTTTGGTGCATTGAATCACAAGTTGTTGGACTTGGCAGCTACATGCAATTACTTTGGAAACTGCATGTAAACTTTAGATGCAGACTCACCCTTCTCATTGGTTTTGCTAAATGTGCTTTACTTAATATTCCTGCAGGAAGACATGCAGTGGATGGCATGGAAAAGGTTCTTAGCCTTTGAAAAGTAATACATTTTTTCCCACATTGAATCAAGAGACTATGTTTATTTCTATTCCTGTTTGCTAAGAATGCGTTTTAGGCATCTGAGATGTATTTTGGTCTGTAGCATCATTTATGGTGTGATCCGTGTGTAAAGGAAATGCGTTGAGAATACAGACCTGTAACTTCTTGTCTCACCAACGTCAAACTGTGAATTAGTGAAATCTCCTTTCTGTATGATGCTTTCATTATTATGTCGAGTGCCGTCACGGAAGTGTAATCAGTATAGTTTTGCTTCAATTTGTTACATTATTTACGGGGTTAATAGTTGGCTTAACACAATTACGGTTCCCATTTTTTTTAGAGGAAATCCTCAAAGGATAGACACTGCTTTAGCCACTAAAAGGATTGTATACGCGTATGATCAGGTATTGCCGATAAAACTGTCATTTACATATCGTACTGGAACTTGCCCTACTCAACCCCCAACTACAAACAAACCAAACTAATCAATGTGATCATCAAAGGATAGACACTGCTTCTGTCAATAAAAAAACAGTCTTCATGTATGAGCGGTAATAACAAATAAAACTACTACATCAACTGATCAATCTAACCAGTGAAATCCCACTAGTGGGGGCTGCGGGTAGATGTATGCAGGCCTTACTCTTACCTAAAGCAGTAGAGAGGCTATTTCCAAAGACCCCGGGCCCCCAGCTATAAAAAACTTTGTGTGTACCTGAGGAGATGCTGGACCTTCCCCTGCAGCCATAAAAATGAAGTCCAATATATTTTCTGAAACTCGTTTGAGCTGGATTTTTCTACGGTGTAGATAAAACCCAAGATATTCTCTGTTTGGTGTTTGGACAAATAAAAAATGGAGGACCTCTTTCCTGAAACTATTTGACACTCCTTCAATATTTATATGCTTATGTCAACTTGTGGCTGCTATCTCCGTAAATGTGAAGAAGAAACTTTAATCCCACCCACTTTCACTTAAACCATGAGTTTCAACACTTTGCAGTAGGCATTTCTTTCGTCTGTTTGAGGGGAAGGAGGATTTGTATTTTGTTTACTAATTTATTCTCTATTTGTTGAAAATAACTATTCGTTTACTTAAATCATACATTTCTAATGCAGGAATAAATACATAAAAAATTTGATTTTTTATTGTGGTATACTAGTAGCTGCTATTAGAGCATTAATATAACTTTACTCTTGAAATGTAATTTTTAATGTTTTTACCTTTGTGTGTGTGTGTGTGTGCAGAGTATATTATTTAAGTATATTATGCTTTCACTAAAAGTCTAAACTGAAGAGGATTGCTCTTTTATTTGTTTTGATGATAGTGCCTCTTGTACTTGTATCATTATCCGGACATGTGGTATGACTATGCCACCTGGCATGCGAAGTGTGGCTCACTAGACTCCGCAGTAAAAGTTTTCCAACAATCTTTAAAAGCTTTACCTGGTAATTTGATCTTACGACTATGCCGCTGAATAATATATACACTAGTTAACATCTTCTATTGCATTCATATTAAAATTGTCTATTGTGGTGCTCAATGCTTTCAATTAAGATCTAGAATACTACTTTGCTTCTGCCTTTTTATATGATGTGTGGCAGAATTTGTCATTGCCCTCCTAACTATACATTTCCCTCTACATGATTAGATTCAGAGATGCTGAGATATGCTTATGCTGAACTTGAAGAGTCACGTGGATCCATTCAGGTTAGGTCATGATATATTATATATAACCTTGACATGGTTCGTACCTCAATTCAGAATTATTAGTATTTTGTGTCTTAATGAGAGGTCCAGACTGTTGCAGGCTGCAAAGATGGTTTACCAAAGTCTGTTGAGAGATGGGACTAATGCATCAGCATTATCACTTATCCAGGTATGATCAACCAAGTTTTGCATTAGAAATTATTAGTCCATATCTATGTTTTTTTTTCCTGTATCAATTTTGATGAAACAAATGGAATATTTAAACCATGCAAACATGTTCGAGAAAGTGAATATGTTTTAATAGTAAAAAAGTGTACGGAGTATATTACTACTATATTATACCCCCTCCGTCCCAAGAAATCATATTTCAAAAGTTTTCCCCAAAACGGCAAAAAGTCTTACTTCATATTTTGTATAACAGGGTTAAATTTTCATGTAATGTCCCAAAAATATTTACAAACTAGGTTTGCTATGATAAAACCAAAAGCAAATTTATTAAATAAAAGTAGGATTCCATGTTGCATTTAAGACAATGTCTACATTGTATAATATCTCAAATAAGTTAAAAACAATATTGTCACAGTTTTATAGTTCTTTATTGGTTGGCTGAATATTTTGTGCACGAAACTTAAAATTGTGTCTAGTTTTTGCGGTCTATACAGGTTTTGCTGGATGACAATACATTTTTATGCCTCATGAAATTTTTACTTAGTTATTGGATGTAAAATCATTTACATATTTGCATTATGAAATTGAGTGTTCTAAAGTAGTCACTTAGTTGGTCCTTGTGAACAATCAAAGCTTATATACATTTAAAATTAAGATCTGAGGAGGGTTAAATGTGTACAGAGCTTGCTTTACACCTCCATTTCAAAGCAAAGCAGTGGCTTGCCGCTCTTGAGGATTTTCCACTTTAACAAGTTTACTTACAAAATCTCTGCTCTCTGTCACACATAGAATCTCTACTTGTGTCATGCTGCAGTACATGCGATTTTTAAGGAGGACCGAAGGAGTTGAAGCAGCTCGCAAATACTTTCTTGATGCCCGCAAATTCCCAAATTGCACATATCATGTTTATGTAGCTCAGGCAAAGATGGAATTCTGTCTTAACAAGGATTCTAAGGTAACTAATGATCCCCAAATGATAAGTTCTAGTGTGTCTGAGCTTCAAACAATGCATGTTACTTTTTTCGGTGTCTCAAATCAGTAAATTAGTGCTTGACTGCGGACTTTAGATCAGCTTACTTTCCATTATTAATTAAGTTAAAGTTGTTCACTTTGTGAGTAAATCTCTAATTTTTATGCAAGAACTAATAGTAAACTGAATAGCAAGATGAAGATTCAAAGTACCTTTTCATCTTTCTTCCTTTTGATGTGAAGCTCCACTGTGGTTCAACGCAGGTGGCACGTAATGTGTTTGAAGCAGGGTTAAAACACTTCATGCATGAATCTGATTACATTCTTGAGTGAGTTCCCTTTCTTTTTGACATTTAAATTCCATATACATTTGCAACGAAAGGGTAGGTTGGTGATTTGCTTTGCATTCCGCTCCTGAAGAGCCTATATTTTATTCTTCCAAGCATTCAGTAGTTGAATTTCAATCTCTTGATAAAATAAATTAAACTAACCAGTATCATTGTGACTCTCTAATATTCTAATCTAGAAACGCCTGGATGGTTGTACCACTTCTGCCTTGTACTAACCTAGTTGTGCAGGTATGCAGATTTCCTGTCTTGTTTGAATGATGACATTAACATAAGGGCCTTGTTTGAACGGGCACTGAGCTCTCTCCCACCAACGGACTCTCTTGAGGTGCAGTATTTCATACCCTGCTTACTCTTCAGTCTTAGCGGCTTTAAGCTGTTGACAACATGATTTAAGAACCACTATTGCTTGGCCATAGGTTCTACTATAGCTTTTACTTGTTACTATCATTAATGGATTCCCTGTTAGAAGAATTGGATCTAGGAACTTCACTAGAAGCATGATGAGATAAATGTGTCATGTTGTTTTGCATGGGCAAGTGTAATCACTAGCTGGATTTTTTTTAGTGTCATACCTCTAAAATTCTATTCCATAATTATAAGCATCAGTCTAAATCATTCATGTGAAGTTAATTTTTTGTCTTTGTTTGCCCATTCTGCATAGGTTTGGAAAAGATTCACTCAATTTGAGCAAACTTATGGCGATCTTGCTAGCATGTTGAGGGTAGCTCCACATTTCTATTTTATGTACCTTATTTTATGTGTGTGCTTGTTTCCCCTGACTCTTGATATGTTTGAGTGCCAGCAATGAGTTAATTTTGTATATGCCTTATTGCATGCCGTGCTCTGAAGTGGCATGACTTTGTCTATGTTTATCTGAAATATTAAAAATGCTAGTCCACCCTATCTCCTGTTTCTGATTATTTTGTTAACAGGTTGAGGAAAGAAGAAAAGAAGCACTTTCTAGGACCGTTGATGGGGAAACACTTATCTTAGAGAGTTCACTGCAAGACATTGTGTCGCGCTATAGTTTTAAGGATCTGTGCCCTTGTTCTTCCAAGTCCCTGGATCATCTTTCACAGCAGGAGGTAGCTTCATCATTTAAATACTATCAGAATCTTTTGGTCTGCCCTTGAAACTCAATATGGTGTGTGGGGGGGGGGGGGGGATACAAGGTGATTTTCATGCAGAAACATTTATTCATGCACTTTCTACTATTTCTGAAAATAGTCTTTTACTTCACCGTGTTTTAGATGCTTGTAAGGAACATGAAGAAGAAGGTTGACAAATCCACTCCTGCTGCCGATGCAGGTTCTACGCATAGTTCTGTCGTTGATCAGTATTTTTGCAGTGATGGTTGGATTCAGCTTTTACGTAATTCTTCTTTTCAATGCAGATGTGAGTATGCCCAATGCAAACCCTGCCAAGCTTGTGTATCCGGATACTTCTAAAATGGCCATTTATAATCCAAAGCAAATACCAGGTGTTTGTGCTAGGATCTTATTATACAATATTACAATCATGCTTTTTGTAACCTTTTGTGCCTTAAAAAATGACGAGTTCAACTTCAACTTCGACAGTAATATAACTGTAAATGAATTTGCTGAAAGGTGGACTTACTTTGCCTTCTTTCCATCTACATTCTCAATCCCCCAACAGATGGTTGTTTAGGTGATGGGTACAATGGATCAACTTCCTCTATACCATTTTTACATAACTAAACAAACAATACCTCTTAAACTTCCATTCCTAATGTGTGTAATCAATCACGTATGCATTTCCCTTCGAGTAGTCAGAGCAATTATTTGCATCTGTTTTATTCAAATCACTTTTTTCTGTCAATAGTCCATGGAGTTTATCATATCCAAATTTTAGATTATGGACATGATTAGTTCTCCTCTTGTTGCTGAGGACCTGGCTAAGAAAACTTTGGGATCGAGAAGATATTTCACACCTTTTTTGTGAATTTTCGCAACTATCTTGAGTGCTTGTGTTTTCTATCTTTCTTTCTTATGCTGTGGATTTTGCAGATCAATCACTAAAATCACCAATTTCAGGAACATTGCCTGCCCCGATTCCAGTAAGCAGTAATGTGCCACCAAATGCACTTGGTGATCTCCTGAAATCATTGCCACCTGCCTTCGCAGCATTTGCATTAAATTTACCAGCTGTTGAGGGTATGCTTTTAAACCGAATTCCCCTTCCCTTTCCTGTATGTTTATTCACCTCGAAAACATAACCAAATACCACAACAAACCCAATAGAAAGCCAACTCCGTTGGGGTCTTTGGGGGCCAAGATGTACGCAATCCTACCCCTGCAAAAATAGAGGCTATTCCTGCCCAAAACTAAAACATTGCCCGTAATGACTCTTTCAGCTCCATTGGCATTGGGCAGGGAAAATATAACCACGTGTAATACCATAATATTTAAGAAGTTAGAAAACTTTTAATTGATCACAGTTATGTTAAGAAACGAATGCTCACACCATATATTTCTATAAAGTTTGTGAATTAATGATGTCTGATTATTGGGTAATGATGGTGGGAAATGCAGGTCCATCTCCTGATGCCGACTTTGTGATATCTGTATGCTTACAAAGCAACATTCCGAGCATTCCATCCACGGGTGACCGGTCTGATTCATCAAACAGATTAAGAACAAGAGACGGAGGATCTGGAAAGAGGAAAGATTTGGACAGTACGTTTGATCTCCTTCCTTGAATTATATATATATATATATATATATATATATATATATATATATATATATATATATATATATATATATATATATATATATTTGTTTCCCGTGATGGAAGATCATTAAAAAGATCGTTTGGTTGCTGTGGCATGGCAGGGAAAGATGATGATGATAATGACGCAATGGGGAGCCAGCAGCCGGTGCCCAGAGATCTTTTCAGGCTTCGGCAGCTCCAAAAGTCCATGGTGGTGCCCGCCAGTTCACACACCACGGGTTCGGTGTCGTATGGGAGTGGTGTTTCTGGAGAGCAGCTCTCAGGCAGCACCAGTTGATGTCCTCCAGTGTGGCCATTTAGTGTGTATAATACAATAGTTGGAAGAAAACTCTCAAGGCTCACCTTAGTCACCTTTATCTATTTCTGTCCATCCAAATTTTCTTTTTGTGTCTTAAGTGTTTTTTTATAGAGTAACAATTTTTTTTATCACGTTTAGATTGCAATGTAATATACTAGTAGCTTTTTTTTTAGTAATGGAGTATCAACAAATGGAGTAGTAATTACTGCCTCTTTGAAAATGAAAATAAAATTACTACTCCATCTGTCTCATTTTAAATTGTCTGTTTGCTTTTTTTCTCCGTCCCAAAATAAGTTGCCTGTTAGTTGTTTTCGTAAACTTTTTAAAATAAAATACCTAAACTACTCTTAAAGTAAGTCACTCTTCTTCACATTATCTTCTCATTCATCGTCACCCTTTCTAAAAAGTAATGACAATTTCAAAAAATTAAGTCTATTTTTTCTTTTCCTTAAATATGGCCAAAAATCAAAATAGGCGATTTAAAACGGGACGGAGAGAGTACTTTTGAAATAAAAATGAGGTAAAATTTGAAAAAAAAAACTCAAATAACACCATAAATTGAAATGTTAATTATGGATTTCGATAGAAATTATTTTCAATTTTTTTTGAAACAATTTTCAATTTAATTTATTTAAGAATGGGGTGGAATGAAAAAGTACAAACTATTACTCCAGGGTACATACTTTTTATGTCCCAATTTAAATTACTTATTTTAATTAATGATATTTGATTCAAGTTATTTTCAAAGTAATTTATTAGAGAATTGGAGAGGAATTTAAAAACTACATATTCAATAATTACATCAAAAAGTTCTTCAATACAGGAGGTGATATAATTATATTTTTTTATCAAATTAGTAACGAAAATAAGAAAAAGAATTGAATAAAGTTTGATTCATAGTAAAAATGTAATTTAATTTAGGGCAAAAATATTTAAAAATAATATAAAAAGGAAACGAAATAAGAGGTGATATGACATTTTTATTTCATTAAATGAGAAACAAAAATAGATAAAAAATGAATAAAAATTAACTCTATAAATAGCAATAATAATTTATATTGGAGTACATTTTAATTACTAATAGTATTAAGTATTATTTGTATTAATTTAAAAATAAATTGAGCGAGATTTAAGAATCTAAAAAGAAGGAATTTAATTTTTCCTCATCTTAATACATTGTCTCCTCATTTTCTTTTTCTTCTACTTATTCATTTCTGAACCAAACACAGTGTAAAAAAAAATGAGAAGAAAATTTCGAGACTTGAAAGAATGAAACATATATATCAGTTTTTTGTGGAAAGCAAAAGAAAACTTAACAAAACAATTTTCAGTTCCAAACTAAAAGAGCTAAAAAGGTGAGAAAACATGAAAGCTGAACTAAGAAACTGAAGTATGTAAATGCAGGTGTCAGTAAAATGCATGAAGAAATCCATGAAAGAAACTACTCTACTTTACAATTGTCAGTTAGCCCCCCTTCTCAGGAAATGTCTCTTGGAAACATGTGAAATTTCACATGAAAACTAAACTCATAAAATGCAACTTTGTCACTAAACTCATAAAAAGAGTGTTAATGTTATAAAGCTAAAGCATGTTGTGTTGAGAAGGAGCGAGCGCAGGTCGAGGCAGGGCTTCTTCTCTTGATGGACTTCGGTACCACAGGAAAAAGAGCCATACCGTTCTACATAATGCCCCGTTTGCAAAATGTGGGATTAAAATACGACCCCAATATGGGTAATATGGTCCGGGCAACTTCAGGAGAGTGAACACAACTGCAATGGCTATCAAATGCCATGGAACTTCGGCCCTCTGAAAGTACCAATCACAATGCAGAAATATGTATCGGTAAGAAACAACACACATAGAATAACAAACAACAAAAACAACAACCCAAATGAATCCCACTACAGTAGGGTCTGGGGAGGGTGTGTGTACGCAGACCTTGCCCCTACTCGAAAGTAGGGAGGCTGTTTCCAAGAGACCCCCGGCTCAACCTGCACAAAAATATGGAAGGGAACACAGTATAACACGGGTAAAGAGTCAAGTACAAGCAACAAGTACAAGCAGTAGCAAAGGATTCCAAACAAACACAACATACTACAAACAACCTCTACAGCACCGAGCTCCTATCCAGCTACTCTAATCCTAGTTCTCCAAAGGTTCCTATCTAAGGCCATATCCTCAATCAAAGTGAGGATTCCTAAATCCTGCCTAATCACCTCCCTCCAATTCTTCTTAGGTCTACCCCTTCCCCTACTTTCCCCAAAAACCGTAATCCTCTCGCATCTCCGTACAGGGGCGTCAGCATCCCGCCGTCTCACATGACCAAACCATCTCAACCTCACTTCCCGCAACTTATCTTCCACTGGCGCCATGCCCACCTGACGTCGGATAACTTCGTTCGAAATCCTATCCAACCTTGTCTTCCCACACATCCATCGTAACATCCGCATCTCCGCCGCATGCAGACGACGCACATGAGTCTTCTTAACCGTCCAACACTCTGCCCCATATAACATAGCAGGTCTGACTATGGATCGATAGAACTTACCTTTCATCCTGGGCAAAATCTTCGGATCACACAACACCCCTGAAGCTAACCGCCATTTGGCCCAAGCCACTCCAACACGATGTCCAACATCCCCATCTAATCACCTCCCTCTAATTCTTATATGCAAATCGGTTGATTTGTTCCATTACATTCATATATGAGTATTAGGCAACCTTATTCATTTGTTTTCCTAAAAAAAGACTAATATCATCCGCTTTACAACAACAAACTGAGTAAAATCCTACAAAAAGTAGAGTTTGGGTGGGGAGGGTGTTCGTATGAAGACCTTACCCCTACAATGAAGTAGAGAAGTTGTCTGTATTTTAAGAGACCTATGAAGTACCAATACAATCCACTTCCTTAACACTAAACAATAGACAAAAATGCTTGGGGTAAGGTGAATTGTTTCATAACTCAATAGAAGAAAAAATATATTCAACCCATTCATAACTTTTAAAATCACTAGCAATACATTGCATGTGTTAGAGTATAAAACCTATCTGGGGTCTACAACCACAACCTTGAGCTTCTGGTTGAGTTGGGTTACTTGGGTCCTTGACAGTGTGAAAAAAACAAAATCCATAACATTCGAATCAATGCCTACTTGGCATGTAAAAAATGGTTAAATAGGTATTTTTGTGTGTTTGGATTGGAATTCTATCGACCCCTAACCCACGTCCAATCCGTGAGATCTTTTATCCAGCCCAATCTGACAAACCAGGTTGGATTTCACTGATTCCACACATCCATAGATTTTCTGCTCACCTCTAAAGCAAGTGTTAAAAAAAGCATAAATTAAGAACTTGATGAATGTGGGCGGTAGACCAATAATCTCACCTTGAGAGACGGAGATGATTCAAGAGCAGCATAATTTAAGATCCCAGCAACAGAGACACCAGCCAGAAATGGGAACGGGATGAGAAAACTCTTGTGTTCATGTGCACAATAAGAAAACTCGCTCAACGAGGAAACTACAAGTAGAGGCACACATAATAACTTGACAACAGACAACAGAATGTCAAGGATGAGGTGAATGAGGTTGTCAAGAACACTGTTCCATGGGAAGATTTTGACAGGCTGAGGAGAATTATCCCACAGTTTTCTAAGCTTGCCCGATATTTCATCTAAATTTAAAATCCCCCCTCTTTCGTTTGATTCCCCAGAAGCAGCAGCAGCCATGTTCATCAAGCCAGAAGTTCTTGGCCTGGCATCATTGGATGCCCTAAAAGGTCTGAACTTTAAAATGTACCCCGGAGTTTTGACTGCTGAACCAAAACCCTGGAGTGGTTAATCCATGTTATCATTCTTATTAAGACACAGAAAGAAATGATTCTTTGTATATTAAGATTCTTTAATGAATGGAATTAAAAAAAGACTATCAGATCAAATATTTTTCTTGCTTGAGAGAAAAGGGGGAAACAATCAACTGAAATTGTAAAAGAAATGTAAAATTACCATGGAGAAATGGGCAAAAGGAAGATTGAGTTTGAGCGGAGTGATATTGCTCCTCTTCTTCCATTGGGAGTGAGCGCAGCAAGTCATAAATTGGGTGGTCGCCATTGATCTGAATCTTTCTCTCTTGAAATCCTCTCCTCTCCTGCTGCGTGTACATATTTCTAGTTGCTCTCTTATTTATATTGGCTCCTACTAGACACCTCCCTACCAACATTGTCTCCACAACATATTTGTCTCTACTTATTCTCCATCCACCCTCTAATTTTAATTTTTTTGCTTTCCTACCACATGTTTATGTAGGGGACATGGTTGGTAGCAAGGGTGTACCACATGTTTATGTAGGGGGGCATGGTTGGTAGCAAGGGTGTACTACATGTTTATGTAGGGGGCATGGTTGGTAGCAAGGTGGGTGATTTTTAGCATTTTCCTTTATTAAATAATAATGTGATGCATTTTAATATAAAAATAATTTCAAAATTTTATTTCATAAATTGTAAGTAATTGATGCTTAAAATTTATTCAGTTTAATTCATAAAAAAAATTTAGAAACTTTATATAATACTTCCTCCGTCTCCAAATAAATTATAATTTTTTTCTCTCTCCTTTCGATAATTTTTGTTTGTTTACGCGATTTTATTAAGCATTTGATAAAATAAAATATTCTTGTCATCTCTTGTTTTGTAGAACTTTTGACGTAGTTTTTTCACATGTAATTTTTATTTTTTATCGATATACCGAATTGTAAATAAAATGATTTCCAAAATTGAGATATTTCTCCTAGTAAACCCCAATTTGTAATCAAATTGGGGACAGAGGGAGTAAATCAAATACTCCATAGAAGATTAAATTATATGCCTATCTTATATTCCGTATTGATCTTTGTACATTTTTATTTGAATTGTCCCAAAATTTCCTTCCACTTTCCCTTTAAGGAAAAAGTTGTTCATCCTCTCCGTATATTATTTTCCTTTTTCTCGATACAAACTATAAATGTATAAATTTTACTTTATTAAAAATTGTGTCAAGTCAAACATAAAATAAAACCATAAACAAAGATAGTACTACAAAATAATCTACCGTTGTAAAAAGAGTTATTAATGTAAATTAGCAATGTGTTTGGTTTGAATAGGGGAGAAGATCAAAATCAAACTCTCTCCTTCAAAACAAATATTCTATATCTCATTCAAGGAATTATGATGTTAAAAAATACTTAGAATTTAGAAAAGAAAAAGAAAATCAAAGAAAATAAAAGTTAATAATTTCTTTTGGATAATAAGAACATTACTTTTCAATAGTTCTCTTTGGTTGTAGAAAACCGAAGAAAGACGTCTTTGGGGAAGGTGTAAAATGTGGATTAGGGAGAGGGAGGTGGAATGATATCTTTTCTTTTCTAACCAAACATTAAAAAAAAAAAATTTCTTTCCCTTTCCAAATTACTTGAATCAAACATAGTGTAAACACTTGTTGAATTAAAAGTAAGGCATCTGGATTGAAATCTAAAAAAGAAGCTCAAAAAATGTGACCTGATATCCACATAGTTACAACAATTGCTACATAAATACACATCTGCCAATATATACAAAATACAAATGGAAAGATCATACAGACAAGAAGCTCTTGTGATGGATGCATTATGATGCATTACTTGTACAAAATCATCTATATTTACATGCAATAAAAACCTATCCACCAATACTTGCAACATTTTGCTAGCGCAAAGCTAACCAGTCAGGACTAAGAAGAGGAGATTCATCATCATCATCTGTCAAAAGCAGTGAGAAATAATGGTGTTTGAGAAGTTGATGATCTATCTACTTGGATTTTGACCATTCTCATCATCTGCCTTTATTGAGTTTCTTCTACCCGAAGAAGCCTCGCGGGGCAGCCTCTCACTGTTCATTCTATCCTGAAAGAAAACAAGAAAAAGGAAAAACAAGTTTATGTAGTTAGAAAGAAAGAGCTGAAAAAGGTTTTATTTTACCAAGAGTTTGATAATGCACAGACAACAAACAGTAAACAAATGAAAACCTTCAGTTTAGTCTCCATCCGATTCTCCTCATCCAAATTGATGTAAGGGATTCTCCCATTATTAGATGCCCGGAAGTGAGCAAGCTCTTCCCGAACACGTGAAAGAATTGCTTCAGATTTCCTAAGCTTAAAAGTAAGATCATCATTCTGATTCTTCAGTAAGTTGTTCTCTTCCTGTTTAAGAAAGATCACACTTTTCATTCATTATTAAGATTCAAGAGACTTCTTTCCAACATCAATTGACCCAACTTGCCTTGATTTTGGCATGATGGTGGATGCGCTGCTGGAGGTTTTGCTGCCCAGACAGCTTCTTTACTTCTGCTTCAAGCTCTATAACCCTCTTCTTATGATTCATGTTCTCCCTCTAAGACATGATTAACAAAGTTTGTTGGGAATCACATTAGTTTTAAGCAACATTATACAAAGGCATTATGTTTTTCTTGTATTACCTTTATAACTTCATTTTCAGTTGCAAGCAATTGATCCCGCTCGTGCAACTTCTCCAATGAGACCTTTGCAGCCATCATCTGAGTTTGTTTTCTCTCAACTTCTTCAAGCCATCTACAAATTCAAGAACTGAAGTCACTTAGAAATTCGCGAGAAGATGTTTCTAATTTTCAGGTCTTTAGTTAAGGTTTACTTCAAGAACTTACCCTTTCCTCTCCTCAATAATTTCGTTTAGTTGTTGTTTCAACTTGGTAACTTCTTCCTCCTGAAAAGCATAAATTCAAATACGAGATGTCATCATACATGGGTTTGAATTGAAAATCACATGTACAGTTGCTTCAACTTGGCCTGTTGGCCAAACAGTTTTTTATAATAACTAAATAATTAACTTACCTTAGCGAGTGCATCTACTTTCTGAGCTCGAGCCTTCTCTGTTAACATTTGCACTTCATGATTATCGAGCAAAGTCTGATTTTAAGTGAGGGAGTAAAAAAAAGCAAAAAAACACTTAGAACAAGAAAGATATGATGGGATCAGAATGTCTTTTAATCATAAAAGCTACAAAAGTACAATTACCCCATAATTATTCATGTCTAGTTTTAGACCCAACAGGTCACGTATCACATCATGGGTCATGCTTTCAGCAGCAGCTAATTTTGAATTCAGCATGAATATCTGCATTATAAAAACACGATCAAAAGAATAAGGGCTTGTTTGGTAAGGGCTGATATGAGCTTTATTTTCTGAAAAGAAAAGTGTTTGATAACATCCATTTCAGCCCAATGACTACGTCAAAAGCTGCTTATGTTTACTTGACAGGTTACCTCTTTTTGTCTGCTAGCAGCTAGAGCCTCAAGTTCTTCAATCCGAAATCTTTCTGCCGTTAGTTCCTCATCCCTCTCAGACTTCAATTGTTGGCCCAATCCTATTCCAATGCATTTAAAAGGAGAACCAGAACCTTTGGGCTTCGTCAAGCTATTTTTCTCCAATTTGCTAGATGATGATGAGTTCGAGCCTTGGATGGAGGCATGCACATCTGACTTCACTTTTTCGGCCATTGCTTCCAACGTCTTGAACTGTGAAATCAAAATGTTTTTAGTGGTTCTTATCCAAACAAACATATCATGCATCTTTAGAAGCATTCATATCGGCCACACTCAGTACCTTTTCCTTGTACTCACGGGCTTGAGCCTCAGAATGCAAATTCAGTTCTGATATATGAACCTTGCACTGAGTAATCTGTTGAAAACCAATCAAGTATACAAGACAATTCAAGAAAGCTCCCAAAGAAAGTGTAAGACAAGATAAAATATGAACTCACTTCAACATCCCTCAAAGCTACTTCTTTCTCCAGGATTTGGATGCGCTGTAGAAGATTCTTCTCTTTTTCTATTGAATTTCTGGGCACATAGTAAACAATCAGAAACCTTTGAATGACTCTCTCTCTCTCTCACTCTCTCTCTCTCTGGCCAACTAACTAACCTAAATATTGAAAATGTACCTTTTTACATCAGTGCTGTCGCTGCTTTTAACACTAAGCATTTGTTGTTTGATGCTGTGCAGTTCCATTTCAAGTTCCTCTCTCTGTAAGCGTTGCCGTTCGGCTTCTTCCTTGACAATGTCAACCTTCAAAAAGTTGGATGTGTGATGAGAGAGGAATCTGTTTCACCACAGATAGATTAAATATGGTACAGATTCAGTACCTTGTTTTCAAGCACATTTACTGTGCATTCTAACTCTTCAATAGATCGCTCTAATAGTTTTACCTCCTCATCTTTCTCTTCAGCATATAGTTTTCTAGTTACTGCTAGCTGCACACCAACCAAGTATATGTTAGCAAACCTTGTAGCAAGAGCTGATGCAGAATTTAGGATCTAATGCCTGATCTAGTCAGTCAACTACATACTATTATGCATTTTTGGTAACTTAACTTTCTATTTATTCGACTATGCAACTTATAATCAATTTAATACGGAGTAATTGTCTAGTGAGAGTAAATGGGTATTAACTCTTTATTTAATTAAAACATAGCTAGTAGCAAAAAACCAGGTATTATTACCTCTTTAGCCTCTAAAGCAACTGCCTCGTTTTCATCTGCAAGCGCTTTTGCTATCTCAAGCTCCTTCTTCAAAGCAACAAGTTCAACATTGAGATCTTCCTTCTCACAAGTGACATCACTCAACTCTCTCCTTAGAGACTCAATAGAGTTGTTCATTTCCGAGATAGCAGATCCCATTTCACACAGTTCGTTCTCTAAGTTTCCACAGAACTTACTCTTTTCTATTAATTCCTCCTGCATTGAAGCTTTTTCTTCTGTGATAGCCTTGATGCTTGCGAATAGCTCATCGTTTTTTCTGGAGAGTAATTCCACACCCTTACTTTGTCTCAAGACATCCGACTCCAAAGCTGATATTGTGCTCTTGTTCTCCAGCAACTGAGCTTCAAGTTTAAAACTCTTAGAAAGAGTGTCATCAAGCTCGCATGACTTTAGTTCCAATTCTCTTTCCAAAGCATTCAACGATGACACCAATTTTTCAATTTCATCTTTTTTATCCTTAGTATTAGAGGCTGACTCCTGCAGTAAACTCAGATCAAACAGCAGCCCCTTAAGAATGTCATCCTTCCTAGACAACTCATTTCCAAGGGTAAGATTCTGTGATACAATCTCTTCTGCTAGATTCTCTAATAACTCGAACTCTTCTAATAACATAGGTACACTGTCCACTACATTGCATATCTTTTGAAATGAACTTTCTAGTTCATCAGACTTCTTTGAGAGCAAAGAAAAAGCTCTGTTGCTCCGATCAAGCTCAGCTCTCATAACCTCCAAGTCCTGAAGAAGCTCACCATTCTCTACTTTCCATCCGATCAGCTCAACCTGAAGTTCGTTGTTCTCATTACCAAGGCAGTTCATTTCTGTAAGCTCAGTATCTTTCATTTCCAGCTCTTTCTGGAGCCTACATGATGCTTCTTCCAGTGATAGAATCCTGTTCTCCAGGATCTGGTTTTGTTTACAAAGGTCAGAGAGTTGAATTGAAGAAATTTCAAGGTTCGAATCCTTAATATGCATTTCTTCCTTTACTTTCTCTAGTTCAGAGTTAAGGCTCTGAACCTGTGATTGCAAAGAGAAGTTGGTTCCAGCTATTTCAACAAGTGTGCTTTTCAATGTTTCATTTGAGCAAGCAATACCCTTCAGTGAATGAACTTCTTTTTGAAGAGATGTGTTCTTGTCTCTGAGCTGGGCAACTATCGAGGTTTTTTCATTAAGCTCTAACAAGAGCTTTTGTTGTTGTTTACCAGCTTCTTCAACTATCCCTTTCAGGACAGATATTTCAGTTTCCCTGTCAACCAATACCGACTCATTGATTGCTGCACCAAGATTCTTGAAAACAATTTCCATCTTCATCTTTTCAGCAGTATCAAAATTACTTCTATAAGTTCTCTCTAAATTAAATATGAAGGCAGTCATCTCTTGTAACTTAATTGACAGGATGAACACCTCAAAATCTTTCATAATAAAAGCATCTTCTGCATATTTTAGGGCTTCCTCTTTCTCCTGAAGCAATCTCTCTTGATCCAAAAGTGATGCCAACACAGTCTGGTTGCTGAGGTCCATCTCATTAACCAACTCAGCCAGCTTTGATCCCAAGTGATCGGATCTTCTCAACATGAGCTCCTCTTGAGACTGTAAATCAATAATTCTCTTCTCAAAAGTTGCAAGCTTTAATGTGAAATCACCAGTTTCGTCTTCTTTCTTAGAAATACGGTCAAAGTTGCTAGTAATGTCATCCAATAACTTCCCCTGGAGAGTTCTACACATTTCAAGCTCTTTCCTAGCTTTAGAATTGTGGTCTCTCAACTCAGTTATTGCAGAATTTGATTCACATAGGCCATGGTGGAGCAGACCTTTTTCTGCATTTAAGCCATTTACTGCTTCCAAGAGAATCCCAGAGTGGCAGAGGTTAAAAATAGACAAAGCAAAATCCTTGACAATAATCTCAGACCAGATATCCTCAATCCATGACCTCATTAGTTCAGAAGCGGCATGGAAATCAGACTTAACATTAAAGAAATCAGAGGCCACCGAAACAAACTCTTCCATTCCAAAGCTATTGACCTGTGATACTATACCTTCCAACTCCATTACCTGCTTTGTTACCATCTGGAAATCTTTCTCCATCTTTTCAATATGTGAGTCCTTAAGATTGTTGGCAGACTGCAAGCATTGGTTTTCATTAACTACAAAGTCCCTTTGATTGGTTAATGTCACCTCCTTTTCCTTAAGCTCTTTGTTATCAACCTTCAAGGCTTCATTTTCTCTCATCAACTCTCTTATTGTTACGATTGTATGTGTCATGGTGTCTTGGACCTCTACATATTTGGCAAGAATACAGGAAGCTTCCATCGTTTTCTGTACAGCAATTACCCTTGCATCTTCAAGTTCAACTTCTAGCAGCTGTTTTAAAGGGGTATCAGGGGAACAAGACATTGAATGAAATTAATATACATTATTATTAGTTCAATTACATTGAGAAATATAAAAACCAAACTGCAATAATTTGTACTTCATAATTACTTTGGTAACAGTAAAAGTAAATTAAATTCCTTTTTGTAAAGGTTGCAAAAGTCCTGCATTAAACATTGCACTATACATTTGCATGAATTTATAATGTTAATTAGTTTTATACAACGCATGATCACTTCAAACTTAATGCCACCGACTCCAACTAGTTTAATAAGACAGTTGATAAGGATGGTGATGATGAACAGAAATAGCAGATTGAATATACTAAGAATTAGAGCAACTACAACTCTACAAGAATTCAATGCACAAGGCACCTGCATGGGGTCGAAGAATGACTTATTATCTACACTACGAAATAGTTATAGGAAAAGAAAGATACAAGGCCGACCTCTTTTTGTTCAAGCCAAGAAGTTCTATATTCCTCCACATCAAGTTCTATTTGTTGAAGCTTAGCATCTGCCTCTTCCAATTTCAGCTTAACGACTCCTTCAAAATTTCCTATGGAGGTTTCTAGTGCACTTATAGGAAGAAAAAGAGATTTGACACTATCCCGAGTGTGCTTTTCAGCCTTGCGGAACTCTTCTTTCTCAATGCATGATGTGGATATCTCGGCTTGCACTTGTTTCAAGCTATCAAGAGCAGATACAATTTCCTTCTTGAGAAGAGCTATGGTAGCATCTCTTCCCTTTGTTCCGTTCAAAGCTCTCTCTCCACCAGCTAAAATTTTACGGGTTTGGGAAGAGCATTCGTTGTGTTCAGTTTCCAAATCCTTACCGGAGTCATCATATTGTTTTGCATTAGCAAATGTCTGCAGCCTTACAGTAAAACTTAATTAATAAAAGAATTACCCAGATGGCCAGAAGGAAAAAAATGATCCATCAGTTAAAGCTAAAATGGCTTAAATCTGAACATTATTAGCAGGGGATAATCTAAAATAGTAAGCACTTACCCATATTTCACATGCTTCCCGAATGGACATATGTTGTAGACCATCACTTAAATTCTCTCTCTCCAGTCTCCCTTGCCTTTCTACCCGCTCATTCATGCAGGAACTTACTACTGAAACACCAGCTTTAAACTCTTCAAGTGTTTCCATCAAGTCATTTGCTTCAAGCTCTTCAAGTTTCTGCTGCATAGCACTGGCATGTCTCTGCTGTTCCAACAGCTCAAGCCTTAGCCCACTGCAGGTCTCGTCAAAGAACTTATCTTTTTGCATATTTGCCTCAGACAACCTGTTAACAACCAGAAACGCTGCTGTTGCACAAGTACACGTTTCCCTGAGTTGACCCTCCAGTTGTTTGATTTTGTTTTTAAACTCTAAGATAGCATTCATTTTAGAGTTCAGTTGGGCTGTCAACAGAGCAATCTCTACATCCTTTTCACTACACTGTTGCTGGTGAACTTCAGTCATAACCAAAGCTGCTCCTCTTAAAGACCTCAGCATGGACTCAACATCATTTCTTTTATTAACCGCATCCCGTAGACTCCTGTTGAGATCTTCTATCAGTTTATCCTTTTCAAAAATGTATTTTGCTATACTCCCAAAATGATGTGATATTTGATTTGCTTGTTTTTGTGGAAATGAAGAGGCTATCAAATCAAGATCATCAGATGCATCCTTAAGAGAAGCTTGACCCCCGCAGAGAATTGTTTCCATATCATTGTTTACTTGCTCCCATTCTTCAAGTAGACTCTGATATTCTCTCTCCTTTTCTGTATAAGCTCCTCTTAACAATCTATTATCTTCAGTAATCAGATTGTTTTTTCCCTCAAGTTCTTTATTTCTTAACTCTAACTGATTCAACCTATCATAGCTCTCCACTTCCTTCAAGTGACTGGCCTGGATTTCCTGCTGAAGAAGACAAAGTTCTTCCTGGAGGCAAAGAATCACTTCAGCAGTTTCAGCCTCTACCTGCCTACGTATTACATCCATTTCTTCTTCGTTTGAAACTTGTAGCGCCTGGTCACTTTGATACCATGTGTTCAGTGTTCTTGCCTTCTCAAGAGAATTTTCCATTTTTTTCAGCTTGGCTTGTAAAGGATTATACTCACTTTCCATGACATTAAAGGATGGGAGATCCTGAGAAAAGCCTTTTTCCTTTAAAGAAGAGATTTCATGTTCCTTTTTCTGCAGAAGTTCTTCATAGCATTTGTTACTGTTTCTAAGATCCTCTGCCTCGTTAATTGCCTGAATTTGTTGAGACTCAAGAGCCTCAATGATGGACTTTGCTCCCTTGAGTTCATCCTGGACATCTTTATATTGCTTGCTTAGTAGAAAAATCTGATCTTTTGTTGACTCTAGATCTCTGTTCAAAGAAAGTGCCCTTTCCTCTGCTTCGTTGCGGGATGACTTTTCTTCGTGAAGAAGAATCTTTAAAATGTCCAACTCTAATTGCAAATCAATGATCTTGTCTGACAAGTTGATCATTTTATCACAACCTATATCTGGCTTCTCTTCCTGGGCAATAACCACGGACTGATAATTGAGTGGAGGAGCTTCTGATATAGATTCCTGAAACATCATAATCATTGTCACCTATCAAGACTTCAAGTCCAGTATCTTATTCACTTGTACATACTCAAGTCATAATAAACTTAAATATATTTAAGTTTTGTAACAGACTGTCTTTAATTGTGTTTCTATCAAATTTTCTTAGAAATAAAGATCATTATGTATGTCTGTAGCAAACAAAATTACCTTGATAACTTCAACCCCATTATCATTATCAAGAACTGAAGATTCCCTTTCACCAAGCGATGCGTGCAAGTCATTAATTTCTCTACAGATAGTTGAAACTCAAATAAGGTCTACATCGGAGATAGTTATTAACAAACTGCATAGTATGTGACAATGGGTCACCAAAAGGTTCCACAATAAAACTATACCTTCTGAGTTCTGCATTTTTTTCCAAGCAACTGTTCAGCTTTGACCTACATTCTTCTAACTGAGAGAAAGTCTCTTTTAACTGCAAGAATCAGAACATGAATGAGAAACTAGTTTCCTAAATTATTTCAAATTATGACTTGCAAGGTATGAGAGCCCAACCTCCGTGCGGAGTGAGTCGGTTTCTTCTTGTTTGATATGTGCAGATTCCTGCCATAGTGAAATATTTATTACTAAGAATGACAGAGGGAAAAAAGAGCATGTTCTAGGTAATGTAAGAGAAACAAAGGAAGGAGATTTGTGCTAGATATATTACCTGGGAAGAAGTATCTATATCCGAGGGATTATGAAGCTTCAACTTCCAATCCAGAGAGAGCAGTAGCTGTTGAAAAATGAATTGTGCATGAGAAATGGCCTTTAAACGTGAGAAATAAATAAAGGATTCTCATTACAATTAGACTCTTGAAGTACCTGATCTCGCAATTCTGATACTTCAGCTAGCAATAAATTTCTCTCTCCTTCCTCATAGAAATCTTGAAATCTAAAAGTTCCCGGAAAGGAAGCTTAAAAGGAGAAAAAAGGAACTAGGAGAAAACAGGAGTGTATCTGCTATGAATCAATGAAAATCTACCTTCTGAGTTGTTCCAAAAGCCTAATATTTTCAAGGGCGAAGCGAGTTACTTCTGGATTTTTGTCTACATTGGCACGAATCAAGTTGAGTTCTTCAGAAAGTGCACAGTTTTCTTCCAGCAGATATGTATCTGATGGTATTAGTCCATTGAGAAGAGATTCCATCCTATGAATTTTCTCTTCCCTAAATTTTAGCATCATCTTTGTGCACCTAGTATCTTCCTCTCTTTGGCAAACCTGAGAAACCAACAACACCAGCAGATCTATTTTATTCTGTTTTTTTAGAAAAAGGAGCTCATTTATTTTGTCATTATTGACCCTGAAATTCAACAGTGATCAAAATGCAAACCAGGCGGTTAAGTTGCTCAATTTCTGCTTCAAAATGCTTGATAGATGATTCAACCATCTGTTCCCTCCTCAAAGCTCCAGCTAGTGTAGCTTCCATTGATTTCAACTACATAGAAATGTTTAAAATGAAAATCAAGCACTTTTTTCATGATTTTGCAATAATATAAATACTCCATAATTATTAATCCAAAAACTTTTTTTGGCACCTCTTTAGCTGATTCTGGAGGAATGCTTTTGGATTCTTCATGCCTTCTGTCTCCAGTACCAGCTGTATCAAATGACAAAGTGCGGGAAATGTTCGGAGCCTTCTGACATTTTAAAGTGGAGAGTTCCTCCTGTTCAAGTAGTCACCACTGACAGTTTAATTTATCCATTGATTTAGGCCTAGTTAATATCCCAATGAACATAGAGCACTAAACACCTTCAAAAGTCGTATCTGATGTTGTAATGCTAGAGTATCTGCTGATGAGTCTTCATTTACAACAGCCTTTGTGATTTGAAAAAAAATGGAAAAAGAAAAAAGATGAGCTCCCTGGCACATATCTTAAGTGAAAATCACATTTATTGCCATCTCAAAAAACGAAACACATACGTTATTTTGAATGAGCTTTGCTCGCTGCGCAAACTTTAGAGTGTTGAGTGTTTCAGCAGCACAGCTGAAAGGAAGAGATTTACAAACCATGATAACATGAGTGAAGAAAACAGAATAGAAAAAACAATACTCTACCCACCAGATGGAAGGGCTAACATTGGCTATCATCATTGTTTTCGAGTTCCCCCCTAGAGAGTCCTGTGGGCACAAATACTCAACGGTTTAAGATTATGAGAGTCGGTTACAGGATAAATAGGAATTGTTGGATATTAACCACCTGAAGAAGATACGTCAATCTTGAATCTCTGTAAGGAATATGCCTTGGTCTTCCATGAGCTATGTCAACTAGAACCATTATCACATGGCTGCAAAAGAAAATCTCACCAGTCAAGTTAATTAATCATATACTATTATACACCATCCATCAATTATGATGATTGACCAGTGGGAAAATACCCTAATGTTGATAACGATTTGTTGATATTTGCAGCTTCCTTTAGGCGTTCACCCTCGGCACCAGAAGTCTTTTGCCTATGTAACAGTCAGGTGAATGCAAATGAAGCAAAGGGCAGCATAGAACTGCTAAGCTAGCAAATCAAAAACATAAGAAATGTGCATTGCTACCTTTCAGAACCAGCAAGATCAACCAGATTAAGCCTTGCAAAACGGAAGTTAGTGGTGGAATCTTTTTCCCAACTGCTCTCAATTACACACGTAAAGACACTGTGGGACCGGCTGCTTTCTCTGTTCATGTTTGTTGCAGCTACTCTCCTGTTAGATGATCCCTAAGGGAAAATTTGAAATACCAAAAAGTTAAGGAGATTATCAACACTTGCAATATAGATACACATATCAAATAGCAACTGAAGGGTATGAGCTCTAGAAAACAAGTCACCTGACTCAAAAGTTTGAGAATATCTCCAACTGTTTGAACTTCAAATTCAGATAGGTTTTCAACATACACGCCCTTTGTGATATCTTCACGCAACTGTAAGTACAGACATCTTAGTATGCAAAGATGAAACAATCTAGTGAACAAGTTTATCCTAGACTGCTCCAATTACCATCAGATTCGTGGATGAAGGATCAAGAAGATCTGTAACTTGTTCATTATAAATCTCTAGGAATGAACATTTGCAGCTATATTTCAATCTCTCTTCCCTTCGGCTTTCCTCTTCCAGTCTGATCCTTGCAAATAAGAATTCGAATATACGCGGTGTCATTCCACGGTGGGGGCTTGGCTTGAATTCTAGCTCTTCAATTTCACCAAGCATCGTATATGTCTTCCCACTTCCGGTCTGAAATATACAAATGATACTCGTATTTAAAAAACTGATATTAAGTCTGCAGAAAAGGAAAGCAGATTATGAACTCAAAGATCAGTCCAAGAACATATGCTATTCGGCACATCACCTGTCCATAAGCAAAAATGCAACTATTGTATCCCGACAAACAGTTTTCAACCATTGGCAAACCAGCCATTCTGAATAGCGTTTCCTGCAAAATTATACAAAGAAAGATTGAGCAACTTTCAAAATAATTTTCACTAAGCACAAAACAACAAAGATTCTTTTTTTTAAAACCTGGTCTAGTGATTCACAGGCAACATGATCGAATGTGAATCGAGTTTCGGGATGCCCGATCCAGGCAATGCATTGTGCGCTCTCCTGCTTCAAGCACCTATTATATCCGTTACTACTTTTCTCCATGCTATTAAGAGGCCTCACACGTATCAACACCTGAACCCATTCAATGTGATCAAATGCTGAACCCTGACGAATAACCCTACCAAGCAGCCCTCCAAAGACACAATATAAACTCCAGAAAAGAAAATTGTAGCTTACCTGCACATTGTGCTCCATCCAGAAAGATGGATCTTCCTTGAGTGCAAAATGTGGCACATCAATGGTATTTACAATAGCGAAAGAGTTAGAGCTAGTTGGGACCCCCTTGGACAGTGCCTCGTAGTTGGTCATTCGAGCACCCACATTAACCGGAGGCCTAGACCCGTTAGTCAGACAAGACACAGGAGGATTCGGTGGCTTACTCACGCTTTTCATTGGAGTGCTTTGAGTAGAATTGCACTCCGAGTTCGTTCTAGCTGTTTTCCTAGTAGATCTAGGAGTACCCATATTCACCATTGTCCGTGATGGTGCCCCATGGGTACTACTACCGTCAACCCTAAGTGGAGTTCTAAGTGGCGTTGTTGAATCAAAATATCTACTATGCTTAGGCTTAGTCGGCGTTCTATCTATTCTGCTAACCCTAACACCTCCTTGATCTGTCATATCCCTTTCTGGAACAGTGTCATTGCGTCCTCTAGCTAATTTGGAAACCCTGGCAGCAGCTCCGGCTTCTTGATCCGCCGCACTCTTTTCTTGAACTGCGTGCAATGGAGGTCTTGATGAGTCCGGGTTAGTAACCTGAGAACCCGCTAAATCGCCCGGGTTCACGGGTATATTCTCCCTCTCCTCCAATTGCAGATTTCTACCCGAATTTCTACGCAGGAATCTGAAGTCCCTCAGCATTCTGAATCCAAGAACACAAATTTCATTTCTTTTCTTAAAAAAAAGCGAACTTTAAAGTGAAATGCTATACTTCATGTAATTACCTGGCAGAAGAAGATAGAACTGGGACTGCGAATCTGCAGAGCTGCGAAATTGTGTAGCTTGTGTACACAATAATGAGCTGGTTCTTTTGATTTTCTACCTGAACTTATTCAAGAATCCAATATCTTCAATAAAGAACCCATTCTCACTCTGCAATCTTTCCCACTCCCTTTGTATTAACTTCTCTCTCTGCAGTTGGTTTGAACTGCAAAATAAGGAAGGGAGGTGTGAGATCGACGGTGGATGGGAGGGGAGGCGTGGAATTCAAACCGCGACTTACATTTTGAATTTGCGTGAGGGGTCATTCCGCAATTTATTAGAAAGTTGGGGTGGCGATTTCGATTATAGAATCTCATAACGGCTACTGGTACATTTTTAATTCAAACTGTGGAGTTGCTTACTTGCTTGGAGCTGTGGGACCTCACTGCTTTTATTTTATTTCTCTCTTTTTTTTCTCAAGTGGGGATTGGCCAATTTGGTGATTCGTTGATTTATGAAAAAACCAAAAAATAAGAGTAAAAACATTGAAAATATACTAAAATAAGAGTTTTGTATTTTCATTCCAAAAAATATGAGTTAGTACATTTATAGTGTCAATTATAACCATATACATTATCAAAAAGTATTGTTACATGTTCATATACAGTGTCACATTTTCAAAGTAAAATCTCATACGGAGTATTTCGAAGACAAAAATATAGAACTTTTAATTTGTTATTTTTCTATGTTTTACTTCTATTAAGGGTGAGTTCTATTGATTTGTTCCTAGAGAAATTCTATAATCAACCTAATGAGTAATGTCCATAAGATTTATATGAATGTTTTCAACCAAAGTAATTAATTATATACTGTATTTATTTATTACTCGAGTGTCTAACCCAAAAACAATTATATTATACTCCCTCCGTCCCATAAAAACTTTCTTCTTTCTTTTTTTCATCCGTCTCATAAAACACTTCTCATTTCTATTAAAAAGTCACGTTTACCCCTTATTTTTTCATACCCTATCTATCACATCATACCTTTTTACTAATAATCTATCCATCAAATTCTACTTTTATCCATCACATCAAATGACATTTTTGGAAATTCAATACCAAAATACACTTTCTTAAATCTCTTCAAAAAGCAAAATATCTCATGTTTCATGGGACGGAGGGAGTAATTTCCATCCCAAAAGAGAATGCAGCAGTTCATTATTCAAAAGGCACATGAATTTTTGTTTATTTATACGCTTTCATCGATTATTTGAGAAAATAAAATATTTGTGTTGTCTCTTGTTTTGATATCGATTATTTGAGAAAATAAAATATTTGTGTTGTCTCTTGTTTTGATAAATTTTTTACGTAGTTGTTAAATCATGGGATCCTAATGGGATTTTTTGTTCTTGTTAAATACCTAAATTTTTTATTTTATTTGTATATCAATCTTTGAATACAATAAATTGAAAAAAATTAAAATTTCATTTTGTGTAATATGTCAAACATTTTGAAATGAAACGAGTGAAAATTTGCATTAACTTTAATTAGATCCATGCAAAAATTTGTCTCGTTCTATCACAACTAAGTTTGCATTTCCTTTTATACTTCCTTCAAAATTAAAATTTTCTTTTTTATTTATAGTATTTTAGAAAAATAAATTTTTGTTTTTGATATTAATATGGAAAACATAGAAATAAATTAAATCACTGAATACATTTTAAAAAAGAAACTAGAAGTTTATTTTGGACAAAAAAAGAAATTGAGAATTGTATTTTGACACAAATAGAGTATAATTGTTTTTTATTGTTTTATTTTAGGGCGTATATAAAAGAAAAAGTGAGAATTCAAAAAATATTTTATTATTCTTAAGTTGTTTAAGATAAAAACAACTTATTTTCGTGTATCTCACAATATTTTATTATTCTTAAGTTGTTTAAGATAAAAACACATATTTTATTATTTTTTAACTTCTAAATAAATTTTAGTTATATAGGCTTTCAATTACTTATTAGTGTTTGTGCCAATCATACTTGCAAATGTTCAATTACTTATTAGTGTTTGTGACATTAATTAATAGGGCAAGAAAAACTTGTAAAAAGAACACAAGAAAAAGTATTTCATCTATTACAAAATAGAGCTCTCATCCAGTCATCCACTATTTACATAGTTACGTTTGGAATAACATTTTTATTCGTGTTAATATTTTGAATAAAATTTTAATCGGTATAAAATGCTAAATTTTAATGTACGTTTGTTAAAGTGTATCCTACATCAGAAGTTGAACAGAAAATAATCAGTATATAAACTTTAGGGTTGAAGTAAATAATCGATTAAGCTCAATATTCTCATGTGGTTCAAAGAATAAGATTTATGTATGACACATCCAAGTGTTTCATGTTATACGTAATTGTTTGTACAAACATTTCGATGGTTTACACTGACACAAGTGTTGGTGCGTTAATAAAAATTCACACGGACACAAATGTTGGTGCGTTTAACAAAAATTAGTTTTACACCAACACAAAGTGTTAGTGCAAAACTGTGAGGTACAAATTGGGGTACAAACTTTGGGGTACACATAGCATAATCCAATTGTTTTTCATTGTCTTTGATTTGGTAGAAATTTAGCATTGATATTATTTCGGGTTTTGACTTGAGATATACTGAGTATTGTAACAAAAAAATATTATATCTTTAATTTGTAACAAAAAGATACTTCAACTTTAAAAAAGGTAACAAAGGGGTATCCCTTGTCAGAATTTTGAGAATTTGACTTGTGAATGCACATGTTGCATTCCATTTAGCTTTTTAGTGTACATGTGGCATTCTAAATTATAGGGGTGAGCATCGGGTCGGTTCGGTCGGTTTCGGCTCAAAACCGAACTAACCGAAAAAATTTATTATTCAAAATAACTGATCGAACCGAACCGACCTTGGATTAAACCCGAACAAACCGAAACCGACAATAACCGAACCGAAACCGAAAATAACCGAACCGACCTTGAATTTTAATCTAATTATGAAATAATAAAAAATAAAAGTAAACTATAATTACAAAAAATGCAAAATGCATATTTAAGACATCTATTTTTAAATATGTACATATTTAAGTTAAAAAAAATTAATATTTACTAAAGGTAGATTTTATTAGTAAAAAATTTATTTAACAATTTAATTTGTAAAATAATTAATAAAAAAGAGAACTAAGGATTAATTAAAAAAAAGAAGAACAAAGGGATGAATATGGAAAAATAGGTATTTTGGGTATAGAAGGAATAATGATTAAAATGATATATTTGAGCTTAATTCACTTATCTGGACTTAAAAATTGGTAATATTAATTTAATAAACATTAGGGGTGGATATGGATTTCGGTTAACCGAACTAACCGAATTAAAGAACCGAAAACCGACCGGACTAACCGAAAAACCGATAATTTGAGAATAGGTAACCGAAACCGAAAACTCGGTTATTTTGGTTTTCGGTTTTCGGTTTCACGGTCGGTCCGGTTATTTTGCTCACCCCTACTAAATGAGATCTAAATTTATATAAACTATCTAAAAGTAATTGGACAGGAATGGGCTCGTGTGAAACTAACAAAAATAGTTATGATTTTTTTAATGTAATAGTCGGGGTAATTAACTAGTGCGAAACAAACAAAAATAATTAGGTAACATAACATTATCATCTTCGAAGTATGTACATTAGTGGTGGGCAGGACATCTTTGGCTCATTTTCCAATTTAAACATCATATGTACTCCCTCCAGCTTTAATTTGGAAAATGAGCCAGAGATGCACGCTCATCACTAATGTATATAATTCGAAGATGGCAATGTTGCCGCAACTATTTTGTTTGCTTTACATTAGTTAATTACCCCAACTATTACGTTTTAAAAAAATTACTTCAACTATTTTTGTTAGTTTCACCCAAGCCAATTACCTAGTTTATTTACTTTTAGGTAGTAATTTAGAAATTATATGGAATGACATATGTATACTAGATAGTCAAGTAACATGTCATATGTGCACTCAGTGACCGCAATCTCAAAACTATGGCAAATGGTAGGGTGTGCACCGGTCCAAAATCAGACCGGACCTGACCGGAACCAGACCGAAACCGGAATCCTCTTTTTGCAAGGACCAATGAGCGGACCTGTTAGATACCGGTCCAGACCGGTCCAAACCTGAATTTTCCGGTCTGGTCCGGATTTACACTATTATGGACCAGATTTTAAACATAAATGACCTAATTTTCATTATAAAAAAATTATATCTGTAAATAAATATAAATAAATAAATACACACACACACATATAATAATACCATCAATCCCCAAATTCATAACAATAACAATTAAATATGGAGGGCAATTGTTAAATTCATAAGTTCATAACACTACAAAATCTATGAAAAAATCTCAAACCAAAGTTCAAACTTCAGAGAAAAAAATTAATAAAAAATACTTAAACTAAAAATTGAAATTAAGTAACATATCATGCTAGGAGGTTAAGAGAATTGAAAAAGAAGAAATTTGAAAGGATAATGATCTAATGAATTAACTATTGGGCTTTAGGCTATTACATTCTGGGCTTGGATTTATTAGATTATTTTAAAAAAATACTACCTCCGTCCCATTTTATAACGCCTGTTTCGGTTTACGATGTTTGACTAAAATTATTTTTAAACCATTTTATATGAAAAATGGTATAGAATTAAAAAATAAAAATTACATATTAAAAAACTACATCAAAAAATCTACAAAACTAGTAGTGACAATAATATTTTATTTTACCAAATTGCTAAAGAAAATAGAGAAAGAAAGTGAATGAAGTTTGACCATGTGAATAGTAAACATGCATTATAATTTGGGACGGAGGGAGTAATATTTTATTATATACCGGTCCGGACCGGATAATTCCAAGTTTAGACCGGACCGGAGAAGAATTGAATGAAACACTAATGACTAATCTCAACCGATATTTAGAAATTAAGTTTATCTTTGGTACAGATAAGAAATTTATGGTTATCATAAAATCTCACATTTCTGCCGTTAGAATTCAAACTCGAGACCCGCATAAAATAAAATCGCTTTTGGAACTAAACCTCTAGCCTGAATAGTAAGAAGTCTAATTTTCAGGATTCATGAGAAAGGTCACATAAGTTCGAGCCCAACGTAATAAAGATAAAAGCACTGAGTCTTTAGGTGTTAGTCATTATGTTTAAAAAAATAAATAAATATCATGAAATACATTATAATCAAATTATGATTGATTCAATAGCGCTAAAAAATCATTTTTGTTTATAATGATTGAGGTGGGTGGATGTCCCAGTGTCATTATAATCATTTTTGTTTATAATCATCTTTGGAGCACACCAACGTTCTCCGAATGGAATGTCCAGGTTCAATGAATGTGTTTCAAGCCCCATGATTGTTTGAACATTAAACAGAGCTATCCGGCCCATAAAACCTGAACCCATCCTTCCTCGTCAGCCCATCTCCGCTTTTTTCCCACAATTAATTACGATCAATGGGAGAGGCGGTCGCGGACACGTCAGCTTTCACCCAAGCAGCGGAGCACCGCCCCAAACTCACCGCGCCGGAAGCCGAAGGCGTTCCCGTCATCGACCTCTCCGCCCTCCCGGATGCGGCCGGCGCCGGAGATAACCTCCACCCTTCGTCGGCTCTCGACGATCTGGCGGCGGCCGTCGGGGACGCGTGCAAGAGCTGGGGATTCTTCCAGGTGGTCAACCACGGGGTGCCGCTGCGGACGCGGCGGAGGATGGAGGAGGCGTCGAGAAGGTTCTTCGCGCAGTCCAAGGAGGAGAAGGGGAAGGTGAGGCGGGACGAGGTGAATCCGTACGGGTACTATGACAAGGAGCACACCAAGAATGTCCGGGACTGGAAGGAAGTGTTCGATTTCACCGTCCAAAACCCGACTTTCATTCCGGTTTCGCCGGAGCCGGACGATGATGCGGTCCTTTTGACAGTACACATTAAAAACTAAATGAAATGCTAGGTCCATATAATACAAGTAAATTCGGTATCACTACTCCGTATTATATGGAGCTAGTACTCCATTTAGTTTTTAATATTTACTGTCAAAAGAACCTTATCGGGAGGACTGACTTGTACTTGAAGGACTACTTATGAATTTTTGAAACTTGAATGACCAGTCATGCATAACTTATAAAATCGAAGGACTACTTATGGGTTTTTTGAAACTTAAAAGACCAATCATGCATAACTCATAAAGTCAAAAGAATATTTATGAATTTTTAAAACTTGAAAGACAATCGTGCATAACTCATAAAGTCGAAGGACTTATATGCTATAGTTGAGTTTAGCCTTTAAGAGACAATCGAATCATTTTGATTTAATCACTTGACGATTTACAATTGGACACACGTCCCGAGAAATTAATATATTAAAATGTAACGACAATAACTAAAGATCATCAATCGCTTAAATATGAACTTTAAGATAAATAATCGAGTTAAATGGATTACATGTTTTTGGATATGAAATGCATACCGAGAATTAGGTTAAAACTTTTTTGTTTTAAGAATGAATTTTTAGACGAACACATTCTAACATATATGGATTGAATTATACAAAAAAAAGATTGAATCAAGTCATTATTTTTTTTCTAAAGTTTGACTTTAATATGTACATGTTCTAGTTGCGAGTCCAAAATCCACCACACCATTAATTCACGTTCTATTAATTTATCAGGGAGGGAGGCATGCGAAGAGTATGCGGGAGAAGTACAAAAGCTGGCTTACAAGCTGTTGGGACTCATCTCCCTCAGCTTAGGGCTGCCCGAGAATCGACTGAATGGGTTCTTCAACAAGGACCAGACAAGTTTCGTGAGGCTGAACCACTACCCGCCCTGCCCTATCCCTCACCTGGCTCTCGGGGTGGGCCCGCACAAAGACGCCGGGGCGTTGACCGTCCTGGCTCAGGACGACGTCGGCGGCCTTGAAGTGAGACGCAAAACCGACGGGGAATGGGTTTTCGTCAAGCCCACCCCCGATGCTTTTATCATCAATGTTGGCGACATTATTCAAGTAAGTTGTACATTTATATTACCTGAGTATTTGTTCATTTTTTACTCCCTCCATCCCTTAAAAATATCTCATTTTGACTTTTAAAGGATTTAAAGAGAGTGTGTTTTGGTGTTGACTTTTCAAAAATGTCTTTTGATATGATGGATAAAGTAGGATGACACGGGTAGATTAATAGAGAAAAAGTGACATGTGATAGATATGTTAAGAATTAATATGGGTAAAAGTGATTTTTTAATAGTAGAAGAGAAGTGTATTTTGGGACGAATGAAAAAAGAAAGGGGAAGGGTTTTGTGGGACGGAGAGAGTATTTTTTGGTCAAAATTAAGAAACTTTGACCACTAATTAAATAAAATTGATATTAGATGTTGACATAAAAAAATTTATTAGATTTATTTTATAAAATATTTTTAAAATATTAGTTTATTTTATATTTTCGCAGGCGAATGAATGATGTATATGTATGATGATGTATCGATCACTAGGTGTGGAGCAACGACAAGTACGAGAGCGTGGATCACAGGGTGAAGGTGAACCCCGAGAGAGCGGTTTTCGATCCCTTTCTTCCTCAACCCGGCGCACTATACTCTGGTGGAGCCGTTGTCCGAGCTACTGAGCTCGGACAACCCTACAAAGTATAAAGCGTACAACTGGGGAAAGTTTTACACCACCCGGAAGACCAGCAATTTCAAGAAGCTTGGTGTTGAAAACATCCAAATTTACCACTTCAGAGTTTGATCATCAACTCTACTGTAATAAGCATAATTAGTGTCCCACGTACTGTTATTATTTACACATAAAAAAAAATAAACAAACAGATAAATAAGGGACGACATTTCTTTCTTTAATTAAATAATCAAATGGTGTTTTTAATCAGCTTGGTGACTTTTTTTTGTTTATGTTTCTGTCCTCTAATTGTGTAATTATTATGTCACACTTTGAAGTTTATTTATGCAAATGGAAGAAAAAAATATGAACTACATACGGAGTAATAATTTTGTTATTGAAACAAAATGATACGGAATACATGATTAATTTGAAAATGCTAGAGTTAAACACAGAGTAATAATTTTGTTATTTTAACAAAATGATACGGAATACATAATTAATTTGAAAATACTAGAGTTACGTTAAACATGCACTGTCGTTAGATAATAAGAAATCACATTATGTAACACTCTAAAAGACACTCAATATTGCACATATAACTCCTTATTACTTTTACACATGCGTAGATCTTTTCCAATCATGCCCTTTTATTATAAAATGCAATATTTTAATTATTTCATTTACCATATTAATTGATATCCATAATTTTAGGAGGTTATTTTCATTCCTTGTACGTAGCATTTAGAACCGTCGTGCCACTCCTCACTACTTAAACACATTTAATAAACAAAATTGAAAGTGTATACCAACTTTTATTGACAGTGTGGAATGATCATGTTATGTTTACACTTTCTGGCAGTCTGTTATGTCCATGTTTTGGACAGTATGTTATGGTTCACAATACACTCAATACTTAACTATATTTTCTGATAGTGTGTTATGCTCATGTTCTCGAAGTGTATATCAACTTAAACACATTTTTTAGCAGTGTGAGATGCAAGGACAAATTTGGAATTGCATCCACACGAGTTCCAACATCACATAATAGTGCTATATTGGGTACTTTAAGCATATGTCAGTGCTATGACGGTACTTCTCCCTTAGATAATCTTTTCAAAATGTTAAAGCTAAATGTTGAAGCTGTTGTCAAAAAATTCTAGAGTTTTTTAGCAGGTCAAACTAAGGGGTGAGGCCCGCAATCCGTGGATACCAGTGACATCATTCTTGGACTTAGTCACTTTAATTTTATGTTGGAAAAATTAACTTCTAAGTTTTTTTCAACTTCTTCTCGCTTCTTCCAACTCCTTTCAGATCCTTCCAACAAAGGCTTAAAAAAGATATTTTTAGAGCTGGACAATCCGTCGTCAGGTTGATTTCGGATTTGGGTCAATTTGGATTCAGGTAAAAAACTGTTTGCTCATGTCTCAGTGTCATCATGTTCGAGTCGACCAAGCGGGTTACGAAATATAAAGATTGTTGTTTAGAAAAAATTATTTTGTAATAAATTCATTATATATAAAATATCTTAATGATTTAAAATATTTTTTTTAATATAATGATTTAAGTTACTATTGTATTTTATAATTAATGATTTAAAATATAATTCAAGGTTATACATAAATTACAATTAATTATTTGTTAGAATTTTTTAATATAAATACTTTGTATTATACTCTCAATATAATAAAGATGTAGATTATTAAATTTTAAAAAAGTAATACTGTTATTAATTTTGGAAATATTTTTTAAAATAACAATAAAAAATAATACTCTGTATTACTGAATAGTTTTATATTGTCTCTGTCCACAAATAAACTTTACATTACGCGTTATGATGTTTGACTGAAGTTATTTTCAAATCATTTTACATGAAAAATGGTGTAGAATTGAAAAATAAAACTTACATATTAAAAAACTATATCAAAAGATCTACAAAATTAAAGGTGACATGACTATATTATTTTATCAAATGAGTGACGAAAATAGGCCAACAAAATGAATAAAGTTTGACCTTGTGAATAGTGAATGTAAGTTTTATGGACCATGCTAGGGTGGCACCACATGGGTGCTACCATGGGTGCACCCATGCTTCGCACAGACAAACACAGACGATAATTGTCTGTGTCGCACAGACAATTATCGTCTGTGTTTGTCTGTGCGTAGCATGGGTGCACCCATGGTAGCACGTATGTGGTGGCATTCTAGCATTTTCCAAATTTTATTTGTGGACGGAGGGAGTATACTAAAGGCACGAGAGAAAAATCCAATTTTGGGATTTGGGAAAGAGTATTTGATCCTCTGGGTATAGCAAGTTGTGAGCCCAACCAAATCAGCCATCAACTTATCCACTCCCATCTTCACTCTTTTATCATCTCTCTACTCAGAGCAATCCACAAAGCCATCTCAAATTTCTTCTTGGGTATGTGAATTATGTAACCATCCCTCCATTAATAGATTCTTGTTTTTCTGGTATGCAATTTAAGTAAACATCCCACCATCTTTCTTCTCTTTGATCCACAGGTTCTGTCGCACAAGAAACAATGGCTACTGCGGCGGCGGCGGCGTCAACTACGGCCATGTTTACTCCGACGGCGGTTGCCGGAAAGAGCACCAAGTGTTCCCAGAAGAGATCCGCCAGAGTGAGATCCCTCACTCCATTTCAGGGCCTGAAGGCACACAACCGTGTCACCACATTGGGAGCCCCCGTCAGCACCGATCAGGCCTTCGAGGCGCAGATTTCCGCCTCCCTGAGAAACCCATCACGGGGTAAAGGCAGCGGCGGCGGCGGAGGAGCTCTGTCTGCCACGGGCAACGCGGCGGGAGAGATTTTCAAGATCGCCGCCATCGTCCCTGCCCTTGTTATGATTGGGGTCGCACTTGGTTTCGCCCTCCTTCGAGTTGAAGCCATGGTTGAGGAATCAGAATTGGAATGAGAGTGAATGAATTTGTGGCATCTGTTTTGCTTTTGTCTATTAACCAAACAAAAGCCTAATAAATTTATATGATTTGGGTTTGGATTGGTTCCATCTCCAGTCTTTGTCTTCTGGGTTTGTTGTTTATAGCCACACAATTGCATTGGATTATTGTTACAGATCACACACTAATAATATGTGAACTCATTTGGTCTATAAACCTCTCATATGTTGCCCACAAATCTCATGTTTTGCAAATGGTTTTCGTATTTAACATTCCATAGGCCATTGTCTTAGTTGGTCACGGGACTCACGGCTAAGTTGGTCATGCCCACACAAGACTACTACCTGGTTTCTACACTCTTCTACATCTTTTAAATAAAATTGTTTTTAAAAAAATTTAAAGTATAACACTACTGAATATTTTAAATTTGGAGTTTTTTTAAAAAAATGAGAACTATCATACTTATAAAAATGATTGTTTATACTCAAACAATACATTACGCCTTTGAGTATTCATCTATTTTGTCCATCAAATATACATTTTAAAAAATGCTCACAACATTCAACATAAATCACACTATTACACAACACAATCAAAGGACAAACACTCTTGAAATTAAACACCATTACACCAACCACTTCCGAATTACATCACCAAATTATAGTACTAAATTACATAAAAACATCAATCCTAAAAAATAGAAGCAACAAAGAACGAAGAGGCTTCTGGCAATAGAAGTACAACATTCAATTATTTCAATATCTCAAATTTCATCATCTATTACTTCGAGATCTGAAAAAGTAAAAAAAAATACCACCAATTAACATTCAAAAATAGGAGAAATATCCATAGATGAAACCATATGAACACACCTTAGATAGTGAGAAAATGCTAGATCCAAAATGAAATCAAGATTGTTTTTATTGATATACAAGAAAATCTTAGATTCAGATTCTATAGAATATTCAATTCTATAGAATTTCAATTTCAATTCAATTTCAATTCCGTTAATTTCAAATACCAAACGGGCAAAGCATTCCCAAAAAATATATACTCCAAAGGAAAAGACACCTGTTATCAAAGTGAAACCAAAATTTGGTGGGTATAGCATTCCGAAAAAATATGGGTAAAGCATTCCGAAAAAATATATACTCCAAAGTGAGAAAATCTTAATTGGTGGGTAAAGCATTCCGAAAAAAAATTTGATGCTCAATTTTTTTGTGCTCGAGACTTATTTACTCCAAAGGAAAAGACACCTGTTATCAATTATCCGCTGTGTAATATGCGCTATTAAATACCCATTATGTAATAGTGAACCCAAAATTTTCCAACGTAGAGCTAAATTTACCCAAACCCGAAAATGGAACAAAAAACTTGGAGACAGTAGAGCAATTAGTCGTATTACATTTAGTGTTATGAAATGCATTCATAATATGCAGCCAGGTTTATACACGATTCCAAACAATCCATAGAATAATGTAGGGACCAAGACATACCCAGCACACAGTATCTATAAACCATACTTGTGGAGAAAGCACAAATTGCATAGTTCACAAAACCATCAATTGTGACCTATTCTGCTTGCATTTCTATGGTTTTGAGAAGCCCATATTTGACAAAATAAAACAAAAAATTTTATACCGACCATCTCTAGGATATAAAACCACCTATATCTCCGGAAGACAATATTAACTAGGGAACTGATCTGACATTATTGCGGATGGAATTGCACGATGTTCTAGCTGCCATATTGCTGATATAAAAAAACATTTTAGCTGCCATAGTTGGTATTGGTTTCTAGCATTTTTCATACATCTCGTAAACAAAAAAATCATAACATAACTATGATGAATGATAAATAGATGGATCTTTGAGTGAAATCAGAGAAAATAATCTCAAAAGAAACGGAAGTAAAGGAAAAATTCACATCTTTATTTAATGTAAAAAGAATAAAAACTCACGCTTCTCATACTCCTAGAAGCTTCGTTGAGGAATTTCATCAAACACATAGCATGCAATCTAGATGCCAAAATCATTTTCTTTTTTTTCAACTACAAAATTAGATAGCCCATTAAGTAGAGAATCAAAGATAAGAAGAAAAAGAGAATGAAGTAGAAGACTTGTAACTGGTGGTCTTGCTAGGCTAAGTCTTTCTCGTCAGAATCTATCGCCAACATACCTAGCCACAACCTTCGAGTTCGTCCTCCACTGAATTCGGACAACCTTTAACATGCCTTCACTAAAAATCACCAAACAATCAGAAAAAAATAAAAATAAAACAAATCAGAAAAAAGCCAAAACAATTCGCATCTCAAATTTTCATTGTAAGCACTAGGGTTTTCTAGAATTAAGATCTAAACAAAAAAAACAAAAAAGTAAAATCTAAACCAATCACCAAAAAACGTGAATTTGAAGGGGGGAAACTAAAATCTACTAGTATTTGATGAAGAAGAGACTGAGGAATTTGGTGGAGAAATTAGAAATTACCAGTTTTTAGAGTGGACCGACCTTCAATTGAAGGTGAAGAAACTCTGACAGTGATCCGTCGTCTTCGTCGAGATAGAGAGAGGCTTGCGTCGCGATGGTGAATGGATTTCGTTTCTTTGTTTACCCGTGAGCCGTCGTCGACATCGAGAGATGGTAGCGTAGAGAGAGAGACAGTGGAATGGATCTCCGGTTAACTGACAGAGTTGCAAGGTTAATAAATCTAAAATAAAAAATGCATCCCAACCATTCATTTAAATCATCTTTTAATCCAAGGGCTGAGATTAGAGTTGTCATAGCATGACATTAATTGCCTTATGTCAGCCGAACCTAGCCGTTGTATATATAGAGATTAAAATGTTATGTTGAAGGATAAGGCCCAAATGTTGGTAGGCCCAATGTATCTGCACCTTTCTTACGGAGTACTAGTATAATAGCGAAGGCGGAAGGACGGATATATATATATACATATATATATATATATATATATATATATATATATATATATATGTATATATATATATCCGTCCTTCCGCCTTCGCTATTATACTAGTACTCCGTAAGAAAGGTGCAGATACATTGGGCCTACCAACATTTGGGCCTTATATATATATATATATATATATATATATATATATATATATATATATATATATATATATATATATATATATCCGTCCTTCCGCCTTCTGCCTGGTATGGCATCCAGGATGTGCAAGGGAAGCGGGAAGCTGGAGTAATGAATGGACTTAGGCCAAAAGGTTCAGCTTCAGCACCTATATAAAAAAGGCCTCTATCTATCTATGTTTCCATCTTTATTTCTTTATATTTCTGGTTTATGCGCCCTACCAATTCCAAACATTTTAATATGGTATGCATGTTTGATATTTGTAATGAATTCTTGTTGAAGACATGTTATGGGTTGAAACTTGGTGTTTTAGCCTTGCTTTGCCACCCCACTTCTTCCTTAGCCTAGCCCATGGGCACCAGAAGGTCTTCACAATTTCTCACTTTCCCATCATTAGGTTGTTCACTCGACATGTTGGGTCTACATTGCATTTTAGAATCTAATTGTGTCTCCTTTACTCTTGTGAAGAATGACCAATATATTTTTTAAAGAAAAATAATATTTTTTAATCAATATGAGGAAGGAGTATAATACTAATGCGGGGGGTGAGTAAATTCTATTGGATAATCTAAACTAATTTTGGGAGCATTATTTTTTTGCCCATCAATGATGGTTGTATAATGGCTATGTCAAGATTGACGTGGGTGTTTTAACGGGATTGGCTGATAGAGTGTCGAGGTTTATTTTTTTTGGTTGAAATTATCAAGGAGCTTTAATGGTAAAGGATGTTTCAGACTAGAAAAGTGAATATAATTTTTATAAAATGTAAATGAGGCTTTAATCTTTATCACCCATCAAGGACAAAGATTTGAGGCATATCTTTGTAGAAATAGATTGTAACGAAGTGGTTGATGCTCTTAATAAGTCTAGTATCACACCCGTGCGTTGCACGCCTCGCAATTACGTTATGAATTTATATTGGTATCATTATAAAATAACATCTATTCATTTTTTGTATTACCAATTCCAAATCCATATATTTTTATGTGCTACCCAATACTAGAATTGAAATTGAAGTTCCCAATTCTAATTTCATAGCTTGAATTTCGTGTACCAAATGAAGCCAAACATTAATTAGACATTTTTGATTCACAATTCGACACTAATTTTAACCACAAATTTGATTTTTTTTATTTTTATAAAAAAATTGAAAAAGTGAAAATTTACTACTCCTCCGTCCTAAAATTAATTTCTTAGTTTGACTTGTGTGGTCAAACTTTTTAAACTTTGACCGTATATTACAGAAAAAATATATTGAATTTTCATATAAATTTATTAGCAATAGATTCATTTTGAAACATAGTTTTGAAACATATAATTTTTATAAAATATATTTATATAAAAATTGAGATATTGATGGTCAAAGTGTCGCATTGGAGACCGTGAAAAGTCAAATGAGAAGTTAATTTTAGGAATGAGAAGTTAATTTTAGGACAGAGGGAGTAAAATATATGTGCTGAGCATTTTTATGAGCTGATAAAAAAAATTAGACTACCACTCTCATTTTCCAAAATTTATCTCATGAAAAAAATTCGAGGGAATTCCCCAACCAAACACACCTCTAGGCGGATCCATCGTCATGCTATTCATTTTACCAGGACAACTTTTTCGTCTCTTTAATGCAATAGAAAGCTTAAGCAGCTCCGGGCTGTGCTCTCCGTTTCCATCCGCTCAGCTTTTCCGGCGAATCCAAAACCTCTTCGACACCGTATATCACTATTTCATCCAGGTTCGCTAACCGATAACTTGGAGACGAAGAAATTCAAACGCATGTCTTATCAAGCCGGAATCCAAACAAGGAATTTCCCGGCACCTATGTGGAGAGCAGTGCCGATTAGTCATTGTGATTTACTTCCTTGAATTGTGAGACTGGAAGAGATCATGCAGGGGCTTCACAACCACCAGCAGCAGTTAGCGGCACTCCTTGCGGCGGCGCTTCCCAAGGACGACCCCTCTAAATCAACACAAACGGCACCGCTGCCGCCAACTTGGTCGCCGTCACAGCCGTCTTCATCCACTGCGCCACCATCACGGGAAGACGATTCCTCCAGAATAGCAGCCATAGCCTCACTTCACAGCGCTATTGTCTATCCCCCTAATTCCATCCTCGTCAGTCACTCCGCCTCTTTTTTAGCTCAGGGATTCTCCCAGCTTCTATTGGACAAGTACTGCGACTCATCTCGTTTCCCCCTCCCTTTCTTCTGTCAGAGAATTTGCTGATTTAATTTGTTTTCTGTTCTATCTTTGGCACTGCACATTGTAGTGGTGCTCTTCTGCAATTTGATACTATTAAATTTCGATTTCAGCACAGCTTCCTAAATATGCTTTATAATTTGATATTTGTAGTACTCTATTGATGAATTTCAAATGATTTTGTCTGAGTTTTGACTATATAGTACTGTATTTCTTTTCTGAGATTTTACCAAAATTGATGCTCAGGTGCTATTCAGTGCGTCACCCGGCTGCTAGAGGTTATGGTGCTTTGTGCGCTGTGATTTGTTCTATTTCCATGGGCCCAAGTGGAAGGCAGAACCATGTCGTACTTGGAAGTTTGGTTGACCAGTTCATTAGTTGGGCTTTGTCATTGATTGGGAATGTTGGAGATGTGTCGTGGGATGTTGCTCTGGAAGGTCTTCACGAGTTTTTAACTATAGGGGATGCTGGAGCAGTTGAGAGATTTGCTTTGCCAATTCTCAAATCTTGCCAAGACGTTCTTGAAGATGAGAGGACCTCCTTCAATTTACTTAGTAGGCTACTTGATGTTTTAACACTAATCTCTTTGAAGTTCTTTAGATGTTTCCAGCCACATTTTGTAGATATTGTTGATCTACTTCTTGGATGGGTGCTGGTACCAGACATTGCAGATTCTGATAGACGTGTTATTATGGATAGTTTCTTGCAGTTTCAGAAATACTGGGTGAATAACATGCAGTTCTCCCTGGGACTGCTCTCAAAATTTTTGGGAGATATGGATGTTTTGCTTCAAGATGGAAGCCCTGGTACTTTGCAGCAATTCCAAAGATTACTTGCTCTGCTCTCTTGCTTTACTTCGGTGTTACAGTCCATGGCATCAGGTTTGTTGGAGATGAACATCCTTGAAAAAATCAACGAACCTCTTTGCAAAATGGTTCCTATTCTGTTGGGGTGCATATCTTTAATTGGAAGGAAATTCGGCTGGTCAAGATGGGTAGAAGATTCTTGGAAATGTTTAACTTTATTGGCAGAGATTTTAACGGATCAGTTTTCGCCATTCTACAGCATTGCTGCTGACATTCTGTTTCAAAGCTTGGACATGGAAGGTAAAGATCAAGCTATAGGGTCAACGACGCTTACTTCCGTTCAGGTTCATGGGGTTCTAAAAACCAATTTACAGTTGCTGTCTTTGCAAAAGCTTGGACTTTCTCCACCATCTGTGCACAAAATTTTACACTTTAGTGCACCTATATCCAAGCTGCGCTTGCATCCAAACCGCTCAGTGACAGGAAGTTGTGCTGCTACATATATCTTCTTGCTTCAACATGAAAAGAATGAAATTGTTGAAATGTCAGTAAGTACAGTGCTGGAAGAGCTTGAGCCATTGAGAAGAGCACTTGGAAGAACTTTTTGTTGCGGGGATAATTTATGTAATATTGCAGTGCCCAAGTCTTATTCAAAATCTGAACTGGTTGCATTAATCAAATTTAATTTAACAGTGTTGATAAGCTGTGTTTCTTTGGTTGGGTCAGGCAGTTTTAATGGCCAAGGAGAAACTGATACCCTATGCATTAGTAGGTCAGAAAAATTGATTCCTCGTATCACCGACGTACTGGACCCTTTTAACTCCATTATGCAGAATGATGTGGAGTTGCAAGTCACCGTTGTGAGAACGTTAGAAAGGCTGGCTGTAGTAGAATTTTTATGCAGGTGCTCCTTGGCCAAACAAAGAACTGGAGAAGCTTCCCAACCGTCAGCATCACAAAATTCCCACAAGGATGAAGATTGGAGGCACCAACTTCCAGCTATAATCTTACAACACCTGAAAAAATTTCGTAATCTTCTTTGCAAAGCTATTCATCCTTCATCTCCATTCACACTTAGGATAGAAGGACTGCAATGGATGTATACATTATCTGGACATGTTATTAGCATATATGAGAATCCAAAGACACCATTTTTTCCTTGCGACGTTTCTGGCTATGTTGAGGTTTTCCAGGATTTGTTGTTTTCTGTTTTGGGCGCTGCTTCAGACAGTGAATATAAAGTGAGGTCTCTTGTGGCATCAGTACTGGAGAGGCTTCTGCAAGCTAAACTCATCCATCCCGCACATTTCCTTCTTACTGCTGAGATTGTCCTTTTAAAACTTGGTGATCCAGATAACGACATAAGAAATGCTTTTGTAAGGGTGCTTTCAGTAGTGCTACCTCTAGCAGTGTATTTTTGTTTTCTCAATGATGATGGACTTTCTACAACATGCAGACCAGGAGATTGTAAAATAAGTAGCAGATCCAACTTGCAGTGGAAGCAACTTTTTGCACTCAAGCAGCTACCACAGCAACTTCATTCACATCAGCTTGTTTCCATTCTCAGTTACCTTGCACAGCGATGGAAAGTTCCACTTTCTTCTTGGATCCATAGGCTTATTTGCAACTGTAGAAGGTCAAACATTATCTCTTTGACCCAGCTTGAGGAGACAGCTGATGATGGCACTAATGGATTGTTGTGGGATATCAAAGTGGATGAGGAGACACTTGAAAGAGCTTGCTCCACCGATATCCTTGCTGGTGCATGGTGGGCTATAAATGAAGGGGCTAGATATTGTATTACTACGCGCCTCAGAACTAATCTTGGGGGGCCAACACAAACTTTTGCTGCATTGGAGCGCATGCTTCTGGATGTTGCGAATGTGCTAAAACTTGATGCTGATGAAAGTGATGGGACCTTAAATATCATTAGCTCTTCTTATGCCCACTTGTTGCCTATGAGATTATTATTTGATTTTGTCGAAGCTTTGAAGAAAAATGTATACAATGCATATGAAGGATCACTTGTTTTACCTTGTGCTTCTAGGCAGAGTTCTTTATTTTTTAGGGCAAATAAAAAGGTGTGTGAGGAATGGTTTTCCAGGATATGTGAGCCAATGATGAATGCTGGATTAGCACTTCATTGTCATGATGCTGCAGTTCATTATTGTGCTTTGCGTTTACAGGAGCTTAAAAATCTTGTTGCTTCATCAATGAGAGAAAAGTCAAGAGCCCAACTGGCTGATAACCTTCAAAATATCAGAGGTAGGCTTTCTGGAGATGTTATGAGAGTTTTGCGACATATTACATTGGCTTTAAGCAAAAGTCACGAGCCGGAGGCATTAATTGGCATACAAAAATGGGCTACTACAGCGTTTTCTTCATTGTTTAAAGATGACAAGCAGTATGTTAATGACAGAGGGACACTGGGGTGTTTTTCTTGGATTAATGGGTTGGTGTATCAAGCTAAGGGTCAGCATGAAAAAGCTGCTGCTCACTTTATTCATTTGTTACAGACTGAAGACTCACTTACACTTATGGGCTCTGACGGTGTGCAATTTACCATAGCTCGTATCATAGAGAACTATGTAGCAGTTTCTGATTGGAAGTCTCTTGAATCATGGCTGTTGGAATTGCAAACACTTCGTGCCAAGCATGCTGGAAAAAGTTACTCAGGTGCATTAACCACTGCTGGCAATGAAATAAACTCTATACAGGCATTGGCTCACTTCGATGAGGGTGAGCTACAGGCAGCATGGTCATGCCTTGATTTAACCCCAAAAAGTAGCAATGAACTAACCCTTGATCCGAAATTGGCACTTCAAAGGAGTGAACAAATGCTCTTGCAGGCTATGCTTTACCAAATTGATGGAAAGGTGGACAAGGTGGCACAGGAGTTGCAGAAGGCAAAGTCAATGCTGGAGGAGCCATTGTCTGTTTTACCCCTCGATGGGCTGTCAAGGGCAACACCATATGTCAACCAGTTATATTGTCTCTTGGCATTTGAAGATGGTTCTAAGCTCAATGAAGACCAACACCAAAGTTTTCCATCGCTATTAAATTCATATCTTCAAACAATGTATTTCCCTATCAACCAGATTCATCAGGATTGCAGTATATGGCTAAAAGTTCTGCGAGTGTATAGAACTGCACATCCATCTTCTCCTTTAACACTTAAGCTTTGCAACAATGTGATGAGCCTTGCCCGTAAGCAAGGAAACATAAGATTGGCACATCGTCTTGAAAAATATCTGACGGACAATATATCTACTTGCCCACAGGGCAGTACACGTGATAATATAATTTCTTGTTTGAATTATGAGCGAATAATACTGAAGTATGCTGAAAACAAGATTGAAGATGCATTCACCACTATGTGGTCAGTTCTGCGTCCTTGCATGGTCTCACCGTCAGCTGCATCTTCTAATTACTTTGACAATGCTTTGAAGGCAAAGGCATGTCTGAAACTCTCTCGTTGGTTAAAACACAACACTTCACATGCAGGATTGAAAGATACAGTCCTCAAAATGAAAGATGACTTCAATTGCCATGAAAATTATTGTGGCAAAGAAGGATCTAGTTTTTATTATGCCCCTCTACCTTCAAAGGAAAATGTGAACCTTATTTATGAGGAATTTATGGGCACTGCTACAAAGTTGTCTTCTCTTCTGTGCCCCACCATGGGAAAGTCATGGATATCATATGCTGTTTGGTGTTTAACTCAAGCTAGATCATCCATGCTCGTACCTGCTGAAAGTGCCCTCCAGTATTGTACATTTTCTCCCATTCTTACTTCTGAACTTCTTCCCGGAAGGTTTAGGTTAACGAATGAAGAGTTATTGGAAGTGAAAGAGATTGTTTTTCAATTACTTTGGAATATATCTCTTGTAAAAGAGTTGAATGAAAATGAGGGAGATTTTGATTTGAGTTTCAGATCTTCTGAACATATAGCAAATGAAGGTCATACTAGGCCTTTATTGCAGCGGATTGTAGATATTATCGAGTCTGAAGCTGGAGCTCCTGGAACTGAAGATTTTTGCGGGGAACGTCTGTGTGCGACTGTAACTTCTAAGTTGCAGAAATGCTTTGAAACAATGAAGTTACCCATGGAAGAAGCTTCTTTGGTTTCCCTGATTGGTGATTTGGTTGATATTTGGTTGTCTTTGAGGAGGAGGAGAATCTCTCTTTTTGGTCATGCGGCCCAAGGGTTTTTGAATTTCCTTTCACATACATCTTCAAGAAGTTTTGATGGACAATTAAATGGATTTGATAGAGTTTCAAAGTATAAGACCATGAGTTATACTCTCAAAGCCACACTATATGTCTTGCATATTCTTGTCAATTATGGACTTGAGCTAAAAGATACCATTGGGCCTGCATTTTCTGCAGTTCCTATGCTACCATGGCAGGTGAGTTTCTGCTTATATGTAATATCTTTTCGAAGATTAATTTTTTGGCTTTCTGATTATATCTTCCTTTTGAAGGAAATAATTCCTCAACTTTTTGCTCGATTGTGCTCCCATCCCGAGCAAGTAGTTCGGAAGCAGGTAGAGAGCTTACTAGTAATGCTATCGAAGCTGTCTCCTTGGTCAGTTGTGTATCCAACTCTTGTTGATGTTAATTCTTGTGAAAAGGAACCTCCTGAAGAGCTTCGCCAGATACTAGCTTGTTTGGTAATATTCTATTTAACGTGCCATGCAATTCTTTGCGGGATGGATTTTACTGGGTTTGTTGTTGTTTGTATAATTTATTTGTTTGCTGACCAGGTTTTTAGGATCAAGCTGCTAGATTTTTAGGAGTAATTTGTGGAATATTCTGTTCTTAATATAGCTCTCCAGACATGCACATACATGTGTGTTCGTGTGTGTATATACGTATATGTATATATGTATATATATATGTATGTATGACTGTATGTATATATATGAGCTGTAATGCTGTAATGTTAGATCAAGAAAGTATTTTGATATTATCACTTATTCACACTCCCTTTGTTATATATAATTGATAGGAGTAATAGACTTGTATGAATAATTTACACCTTGGCTGGTTATTCCCAGGCTCACTAACGGGGTTTTCATCATAACTTGTGCCAAAATGACTACCACATAAATTAATCTGCTACCTTTTTTCTTAAATGGCAGAACAAGCTATATCCTAAATTAGTTCAAGATGCCCAGATGATGATTAAAGAACTTGAAAATGTAACAGTCCTTTGGGAGGAACTTTGGCTCAGCACTCTTCAAGATCTTCATGCAGGTATTTTCTGCCGGCAGTACATGCATATGTTTTGAATTCTTTACCAAATGGTTCAGAATTTAATACTCCCCTTGTAAAATTATGTAAAGTTAACTTTATTCTTTTTTTTTGGAGGGGGGGGGGGGGTCCAGCAAGAGTGAGCTACTGTAACCTAGGGTCTAGGGAGTATATGTTTTTTGATGGGTGGAGGGAGTTGGGACCAATATTTCGGACTTGCATGTTGGAATTTTAATGCTTGCTATTCCAACTGTGTAAAAGGTATGTATACTTGTCCTAGGAGATTAAACCAGATAAATGCACTGACACACATTTTTCTGGGAACTAGAGCTTGAGAACATTGTATATTCATCCTTGGTGTTAAATACTGCATTACATGCCTCTTAACACCTCAAGGCTTTCATTGTTTTAACTTCTCTTAAATGAATGATTGGTTAGATGTAATGAGACGCATACATTTGCTGAAAGACGAGGCTGCACGAATTGCAGACAATGTAACTCTGAGCCATGGGGAGAAGAGTAAGATAAATGCTGCTAAATACTCGGCGATGATGGCTCCTATAGTTGTTGTTTTAGAGCGGCGCTTATCTTCTACTTCTCGAAAACCTGAAACACCTCATGAAATGTGGTTCGATGAAGTTTACAAAGAGCAAATTAAATCTGCAATTTCAAACTTCAAGATACCTCCTGCATCCAGTGCTGCACTTGGGGATGTTTGGCGACCATTTAACAACATTGCTGTGTCTTTGGCATCTTATCAAAGGAAGTCACCAATATCCCTAGCTGAAGTTGCTCCACAGCTGGCTCTTCTCTCATCATCTGACGCTCCAATGCCGGGTCTCGAGAAGCAAATAATATATTCTGAACCAGAAGAGGGTGCTACTGCTCCCAAGGAAATTATCACAATTGCTTCGTTCTCTGAACAAGTAACTATTTTATCAACCAAAACAAAACCGAAAAAGATTTTGATTGTGGGGTGTGATGGGGAAAAGTACATCTATCTGCTAAAAGGGAGAGAAGATCTGCGTCTTGATGCAAGGATCATGCAGCTACTTCAAGCAATAAATGGCTTACTACATTCTTCATCTTTAACTGTAGGTCAGCCTGTTGGCATTCGCTTTTACTCTGTGACTCCCATTAGTGGACGTGCCGGTCTCATTCAGTGGGTTGATAATGTAGTAAGCATTTATAGTGTCTTTAAGGTCACCGTCTCAGCCCAAGTCCAACGTCTTGAGAGTCGTTACCCAGGATTACGTTTTGTATCTCCAGGAGGGGGATAGGGAGCCGGTCACCTGTACAAAATACCCTTTTAATATGGACGCGAATTTCTCTTTCCGTAATTCTCTCACTATAGTTCTTCTCTAACCGGAGTACTCCACTTCTCCCTTCATGAAAACCTAGAAATGAATGAGACTCCTAACCACCTTCTTCATCATGAGCTCTGGTGTGCAAGTGAAGGGTTCAGAGCCTTCCATTCAAAACAAAAGAGGTTTTTAATATATGCCTCTGTCTATATGCTATTAAGACATAAGTTTTCCTGCCATTCATGTTCTTTATGATATTAAGCATTTACTGTATTTCTTTTCAGGCAAGCCCTTGACCCTTGGTTATGCATTTTAACTAATCTTCTTTTCAAATTATATATTGGTCGCCATTTTTTCCATCTTTTCTAATGGAGCCAAAGATTCACTATTTTTTGACTTTGGGGTATGATGGAATAAAGCAAAATAAATCTTTAAACTATCTGTTTTAAACATAGGGGTTGGGTTGCCTACATCCCCCCCAACCCGCAATGGGCGGGAGCCTTTGAGGCATTGGGGTAATGCTGTTTATATTGGTTGCCATTTCTAGATTTTAGATCTAAGTTAACACTGGAAGCTCTAAAGTGGTTATTTGGATCATATTCTGGATTAGTGGGTTTTTAGTTCAATGAGGGTTGAGATTAGTGTGTGGCTTGATTAACCATCACTTATTTGGCTCAGATTTAGGGATTTGATTAAGTAATATTGCCAGAATAACTCATGCCACAACATAGCAGTGTTGCAAAGTTGGTGGTGTCGTCGCTAGGAGTTAGATTTGGGGGTAAAATCTCATCACCCTCTAGAGAAGATATCAATAAGGGTATGAATGCCATCCCCCCTTCCCTAATAATAATAATAATAATAATAATAATAATAATAATAATAATAATAATAATAATACAAACATACAATGAAGGGCCTAGGTTAGATTTTCTAAGCCCTCATAGCATTAGATCTAATTAGCCCCAAGGTTTCATAGGACTAGGCGACTAGCACTGTGCCAGTACATAGTGCATAATGGCTTTTCTTTAAAAATGTATTTTCTATGTTATATACTTATATGCGCTTTAGTGCAATACATACAACAACAACAACCAACATAATCCCAACTCATTTGGGGGTTGGGGGTCAAGATGTACACAATCTTACCCATATAAAACAAAGGGGGTGTTTCTGTTAGACCCTTGATGCACTGCTGCACTAACCTCCCAAAACTTCATAGAAATTTGATTATAATTTTTGGAATAAACAATTATTCATTCATCTTTATCTCGATATGTTCTCTATATCCATTCATTAGTTTACCAATTCGTTATCCTTCATGGATTAATTTGTCTAGTTTCATTACTATTTTTTGTTCCAATATGGTCAATGAAGAGATAAGAACTGATACAGATGTCCTCTTCAAGAGAGTCAGATGATATAAATATTTTTTTGTTACTCTTTTCATGGTGTAAAAATCCATAAGTTATGAAGCAATAGTTATAATTATTTTATATTTTCCTGTCTTATAATTTTATGAAGTTATGATACTTCCCATCATCCAAAAGAAAAATGAGAGAAAGAAGGGACAGATTTGGCCTGGTCCAGAAGCTGACCCTTTGAGCTAGGGCTGGGTGGAGTATCTCTAGGCACTTATTACATAAGGGCTTTTTGGCCCTTAAGAGCTAGGGCCATTCTGACCCTTAGTGATATCTTTTTCCTCCTCACATGTGCATATTCAATGGCCTAATTCTACGTACTTAAATGGCCCATTTATTTTGGGTTAGCCTTCAGACTTAAGTGCTTCTGAAGACAGAAAAGATGCTAAAGCAAATAACATGCATGAATTATATATGCTGTTTTTTTTCCTTCAAATCATTTGAAGTGTTAATAAGTAAACATAAATGACATGAATTGTCTTTGATAATTTGCTTGCAGGTATTCTGGCAGCTTAGCAGCCATGAGTATTGTTGGCCACATGCTTGGCTTAGGAGATCGGCATTTAGATAATATTCTTATTGATTTTTGTACTGGTGACATAGTGCATATCGATTACAATGTGTGTTTTGATAAAGGGAAAAGACTAAAGATCCCCGAAATTGTGCCATTCCGCTTGACTCAGACAATTGAAGCAGCTTTAGGCATCACTGGGGTTGAGGGTACTTTTAGAGCAAACTGTGAAGCAGTTCTTGGTGTTCTGAAGAAAAACAAGGACATAATTTTGATGCTCTTGGAAGTCTTTGTTTGGGATCCCCTTGTAGATTGGACACGTGGAGATGTTCATGATGATGCAGCAATTTTTGGTGAGGAAAGAAAGGGGATGGAGCTTGCAGTAAGCTTGAGTTTATTTGCTTCCCGCATGCAAGAAATTCGTGTTCCCTTGCAGGTATTGTTTTGGGCATTATACAAGTTAGTTAATTCTTCTGTTCTTTTTATTTCTGCCGACCACTTGATCTCTGGGATAGTATTGGGTACATTTCCCTCTTCCACTAGTTTAGTTGATTCTTCTGTTTTATTTCTGCTCCATCAGTTGTTCATTATACTCTTGAATGGTCTGCAGTATGATGTATTTTCTGGATTTCCCTTTTTTGTTCCTCTATCTAAACATACATATTGAAGTAATGATTTAGTGTTTCTCTGCAGTTAAAAATGAATGTTGCAGTTCTGTAGGCCCAATTCATTTTTTTTGTTCCCCCTTCATTGAATGGTCCGCATTCATTTTGAATGGTCTTATATGGTCCGCATTCATTTTTTTTGTTCCCCTCAAAACATGTTGAAGTAGAGAAACAAGTCATAAATGCATATATTCATATGAAGACGATTATCTTGTTCTATGTTCCCAGGAGCATCATGATCTTTTAGTATCAACTTTACCCGCTGTCGAATCTGCTCTTGAGGTATTTAGAACACTTTCATACATTGGTGATGCATCCTCTTTATAAAAAAGGAATTATTTTTGACGCTGTAAATTTTTAATTATAGAGACTTTCAACCATCCTAAACCAGTATGAGATCGTCTCTGCTCTTTTCTACCGCGCTGACCAAGAGAGATCTAACCTTGCTATACAAGAGACGTCTGTAAAGTCGATTGTTGCCGAAGCATCTTCCAAATCAGAAAAAATCCAAGCATCACTTCAAATGCAGGCTAGACAATTCGCACAAGCACAAGCCATGGTAGTGGAGAAAACTCAAGAAGCTACAACCTGGATTGAGCAACATGGCAGAGTTCTTGATGCTATCAGAAGCAATTTAGTCCCAGAAATTAATGCACATATAAATCTGAATGATGCAGAGCATACCTTTTCTTTGACATCGGCCGTGCTAGCAGCTGGAGTCCCTTTAACAGTTGTTCCTGAGCCCACCCTTGCTCAGTGCCAAGATATAGACAGGGAAGTTTCTCAGCTAGTTGTAGAGCTGGATCATGGACTTTCTTCGGCAGCAAGTGCTCTTCAAACATATTGCCTTGCCCTGCAAAGAATTTTGCCACTTAATTACCATACAACTAGTCCAGTGCATGATTGGTCACAGATTTTGCAGCTTGCTGCAAATGCTCTTTCTTCTGACATTTTGTCACTCAGTAGAACGCAAGCAAGCGAACTTATTGGAAAGTCGCCTATGGGCGAATTTGATGCAGTTAAAATCAGATACAATGAGCTTTGTTTTAAAGTAGGACAATATGCTGCAGAAATAGGGAGACTAGAAGAAGAGTGTGCAGAGTTGGCGAGCTCCATTGGACAAGAAACTGAATCAAAGGCTAAGGAGTGTCTTTTGTCTGCCTTCTTGAAGTGCATGCAGCCCACTAGTCTTGAGAGGAAGGAAGATTCCAGTGAAGTGGGATCATTAAGTCTTAAAGAACTACAAGATGCTGGATATCTAGAAAAGTTTGAAGTGAACAAGCCAAAACTTCCAACTATTTTAACTGTTGCAGTCTGTTCTTTATATAGTGACATCAAGCATAAGTTAGTTGGTGGCTTAACTAGTTTCACAGGAGCAGAGATTCTGCCACAGTCCAATTTGGGAGCCCTTTTCTGTGAATTTGAAGAACAGACAGAGAAATGCATGCTTATAGCTAGTTTTTTAAACGAAATGCATCGGTATATCAGCCCAGTTTTAGACTCTGCTGCCTTTCCATTTGAGGTCAACTGGGCATCAGTGTTCAAGACCAGTCTGCTTTCATGCAAAAAATTAGTCCAGGAAATGATTGAGTGTGTTTTGCCCGAAGTCATGAAAACTGTGATTATGTTCAATTCAGAAGTTATGGATGCTTTTGGCTCAATCTCTCAAATCCGCAGATCAATTGATATAGCACTTGAGCAGCTTATTGAAGTGGAAGTAGAGAAGGCTTCTTTAATTGAGCTTGAAAAAAATTACTTTGTAAAGGTTGGTGTCATCACAGAACAACAGTTAGCTCTTGAAGAAGCTGCCATCAAGAGTAGAGATCATTTATCTTGGGAAGAAGCCGATGAACTAGCGTCACAAGAGGAAGTTTGTAGAGCCCAACTAGACAAACTTCACCGGACATGGAACCAGAAGGATATGCGAACGTCATCTCTTGTGAAGAAAGAAACTAATATCAGGAGTGCTTTGGTGTCCTCTGAGGATAATTTGCAATCTCTAATTATTACGGAAGAGGATAGAAAAACACATGCCCTTAGAAGCAGAGTGCTTCTGACTCTATTATTGCAACCCTTTTCTGAGTTAGAGTCAGTGGATAAAGCATTATCTTCGCTTGGTCTACCTATTGCATCTAGTACCACTGGGATTTCTCATCTTGCAAGCTCAATGAATTCAGGAAACCTGATGTCTGGGTATATATGGAATTTTCTGGGCATAGTATCTAGCAGTAATGCTTTTTTTATATGGAAGATTTCCATGGTTGATTCTTTTCTTGACTCCTGTGCGCATTATGCTGGATTACCTGTTGCTCAAAATTTGGGATTTGACCAGCTAGTGGACGCGGTAAAGAAGGTAATTGAACCACAGCTTCAGAAAGGTGTTGGGCAGTACCTTAAAGAGAGAGTCGCTCCTCTTCTTTTGGAAATGTTAGAGAAAGAAACTGAATCACTTAAGAAAATGGCAGAGTCAAGCAAAGACCTTACATTTGATCAGATTAAGAATAGTTTAGAGACTATACAAGAAGTGCAAATTATGCTTGAGGAGTACTGCAATGCACACGAAACTGTCAGAGCAGCAAGGTCAGCCATTTCTCTCATGAAGAGGCAGGTGAATGAGTTAAAGGACAACCTTCTGAAGACTAGTTTGGAAATTGTTCAGATGGAATGGATGTATGATATGACTGTGAGCCCGTTGCAAAGCCACAAAATGATGTCTCATAAATTTCTTGCAAGTGGTGACAAAATAATTCCAATTCTTCTTAATATCAGCAGACCAAAATTGATCGAAAGTTTGCAATCATCCATTGCAAAGATAGCTAAATCACTAGAAGGAATACATGTGTGTGAGAGAACATTTGTCAATGCAGAAGGGCAACTAGAGAGAGCAATGGGCTGGGCTTGCGGAGGTGGGTGTACCAGTGCATCTAGTAATGCATCAGTAAAGAATCCAGGAATACCCCTTGAATTTCATGAACATCTTATTAGGCGCAGGCAGTTGTTGTCTGAAACTCGAGAAAAGGCGTCAGATGTGATGAAACTATGCATCTCTATTTTGGAATTTGAAGTGTCAAGGGATGGATTTTTTCGGGGTTCAGAAGAACTTTGTACATCAAGGATTAATTCAGATGGAAGGATCTGGGAGCAAGCTTACCTTAATTCTATAACAAATTTGGAAGATTCATTTCACTCTTTTACAAGTAATTTTTCAACATCATTCATGTGTCGCCGTGTCAGTTGAAATGAAAGTATATATATTCTTCTTGTTATGTGCAATGAATATATTCTTTTTACATATCAGGAACTGAACAAGAATTGAAACACGCACAGAGCAGTGTGGAGATAGCTTCCAGTAGTTTACTCACTGCAGCTAATGAACTCTGCATTGCTTCTGTCAAAGCAACTTCGGCATCAGGTAAAATATGGCTCTTCACTATGATCTATGCTGCATTAAAATCATTCGGAGTAGTTTTTAGCCAATATCGTTGTAGCATGAAATGATGTATGCTGCATTAGATTAATTTAGTAAATTTTTAGCCAATATCATTGGAGCATCAAATCACAACCCGAACATGGACACTCTAACTCTCATAGGTGACTTTTCAGATGACACCGACTACTTGCAAAGCTGAAAATGCATGGATGCTTGTTCTCAAGAATTGTTTACACATCTTTTAACTCTATTCTTTGGTAACACTGGTACTTGTATGTTTTGAAGGGGGTCTGCAAAATACTATTCTTGCAATGAGGGATTGTGTTTATGAAGCAAGTGTTGCCCTATCGGCCTTCGGAAGCATTTCAAGAAGGCATACTGCTATGACATCTGAATGTGGCTCCATGCTTGAAGAGGTATGGCGCTTTTGATGCTATCTTTTCTCCCTTGTGGAGTGCCAGCTTTTGATGCTCTTGAATGTAGCTCCATGCTTGAATGTGGCAACATAGATTTTCATTTCAGTTTAATCCTCGTGTGTGTCTGTATGTGTGTGCGTGTGTGCGCGCTTTGGTTCACATAACAATGTGCACTTCTCCTGAAAAAAATGAGAGTTGATATGGTGAATTGGATATCCGATCTAATGGCTAAGATGAAGTAAAAATCTTTGAAATTTGCAAAAAATTGTGGTGGCATTATTGTAAATAAAAGGAAGTTTTTTGAAACAGCAAAAAATGCATTGGAATGAACTAAATTGTCCGGTTCTTTTGACACTGGATTCAACAACAACAACAACAACCCAGTTGAATCCCACTACAGTAGGGTCTGGGGAGGGTGTGTACGCAGACCTTGCCCCTACTCGGAAGTAGGGAGGTTGTTTCCAAGAGACCCCCGGCTCAACCTGCACAAAAAATATGGTAGGGAACACAATATAACATGATAGCAGGATATAACAGGATAAAGCACCAAGTACAATGAAATGAAAGTCCAGCAAGCAAAAGTAGAAGATTCCAATCAAACACAACACACTACCAAAAAACCTCTGCAGCATCTAGCTCCTAACCAGCTACTTTAATCCTAGTCCTCCAAAGGTTCTTATCTAAAGCCATATCCTCAGTCAGGGTGAGAAGTCCTAAATCCTGCCTAATCACCTCCTTCCATTTCTTCCTAGGTCTTCCCCTTCCCCCGATAACCGTGATCCTCTCGCACCTCCGTATAGGGCATCAGCATCCCGCCGTCTCACATGCCCAAACCATCTCAACCTCGCTTCCCATAACTTATCTTCCACCGGCGCCATGCCTACCTGACGTCGGATAACTTCGTTCGAAATCCTATCCAACATTGTCTTCCCACACATCCATCGTAACATCCGCATCTCCGCTGCATGCAGACGACGCACATGAGTCTTCTTAACCGCCCAACACTCTGCCCCGTATAACATAGCAAGTCTGACTATGGATCGGTAGAACTTACCTTTCATCCTAGGCGAAATCTTCGGGTCACACAACACCCCTGAGGCCAACCGCCATTTGGCCCAAGCCACTCCAACACGATGTCCAACATCCCCGTCTAACTCCCCATCCGCCTGGATTACCGAGCCAAGATATCGGAACCTGTCTACCTTAGGTACTACGTGAGAGTCAATCCTAACTTCCACTTCTGGTTCTGTTTCCCGGCCTCTGAAACGACATTCCATGTATTCAGTCTTGTTCCTACTTATTCTGAATCCTTTAGTCTCAAGGGCAAGGCACCATCGTTCCAACTTATTGTTTAGTCCCTCACGTGTGTCGTCGATAAGCACAATATCATCCGCGAAAAGCATGCACCATGGGACCCCTTCTTGAACACCTTGAGTTAGGACGTCCATCACCAAGGCGAACAAAAAAAGGGCTACCGAGAATGACTCAGAGTTGCCCCAGGAGGTCCTAACTCTAGTCATAGCCCCATCGTACATATCCTTGATCACGCGAGTGTACGCGATGGGAACTCTTCTTGTCTCAAGGCACCTCCATAAGACCTCCCTTGGCACCCTATCGTACGCCTTCTCAAGATCAATAAACACCATATGAAGGTCCTTCTTGGTGTGGCTAAGGAGTTTAGTGACCCTGGTGTGGCTAAGGAGTTTAATGCCTCTGGTGTGGCTAAGGAGTTTAATGCCTCTGTAATTCTCACAACTCTGAATGTCACCTTTACCTTTAAACAAGGGGACCAAGAGACTCTCCCTCCACTCATCATGCATTCTTGCTGTCCGAAAGATAACATTGAAGAGTTTAGTTAACCAAACCCACGCACCACGGCCCGCATGCTTCCAAAACTCCACCTGAATCTCATCTGGTCCCAAAGCTCTCCCACTACGCATCCCTCGGAGAGCCTGAACCACCTCTCCCAGGCAAATGCACCGACAATACACACGAGACGCCCCGGACTACCCCAGCTCATCAAGAACTAGCCTCTGGTCTCCTCCCGCATTTAAGAGTTCACAAAAGTACTCCCCCCAGCGCTTAGCCACTTTGGCAGTCTCAATTACTACTCTACCATCGCTCCCCTTCACGCATCTCACGTGGTCCAGATCTCGGGCCTTCCTCTCACGCACCTTAGCAAGCCGGAATAGTGTGTTAACACCGCCTTTCTCCTCAATGTCCTTGTAGAGGCGTTCAAAAGTGGCATTCTTTGCCCTCGTAACCTCTAACTTGGCTTCTTTACGTGCCTTCTTGTACTCCACTCGTAATGTCGTTCTTTCTTCCTCAACATTGCAGCCCATGTACCTCAAATATGCCACCTTCTTAGCTTCCACCTTACTTCGAACTGAATCGCTCCACCACCAATCACCCTGACGCCTACTCCCAAAGCCAGAGCTCACACCTAACACTTCCCTGGCTGGATTCCAATGTCGTATTATGACACCAGCCATTTGAAGCCCCTGCGGTGCTCCGTTGGACCACAAAGTTGTACTTACCCCGGCCATGGTCTCTCCCTCCCCAAATTTGTTGTCTTTAATGTAGCAAGTTGGCGAATTGGGGGGGGGGGGCATGGGGGTTTGGGGATAGGAACAATTTTGGGGTCCAAGAGAGCACCGTCAGGGTTCGGTGTCATGATATGACAACCGACCTTGGTGTCAAAATCTCCTCAGTGTTTTTGTTTTAGGTTTATATTCTTTAGCTAGCAACATGCTCCATAGTTATTATTATTACTTATCACGGTGCCTAGGTGAGTGTTATGTGACAAGTCATATATATAATATGATATGTATTGTAACTCATAAACTTCCAAGTCAATATATTTTTATATGGATATTATGTACAAAATACAATACCAGAAATAAATAAACAAAAAAAAACCATTATTAAACATCACCAGTATTTATTTTTAACAAAGCATTATTTCTGAAATTATTTATTTCTCTCTAAAGCACAATTTAAACATTTAACAATAACTTCTCAATGAAAAAAACCAATCGAACTTCTAGTTTTGCAAAACCAAGAGTTAATACTTCTTAACAAAATGCTCTGTAACTAATATGAAAACAAAAAAGGAGTCGTGACTCTGAAAACGAAGAAGAATAAAAGTGTCAAAGGAAAAAGATAAAAAAACAAAAGCAAATGGAAGAAAGAAGAATCAAGGGAAAACAGAAAGTGTGAGTATCTAACTAGCAGATTTGGAGTGCCAAACACTGGCAGGTATGGAGCGGATCTAGGGCTGATTACCAAAAATCTAGCGTTGAAGTAACTGATGGTGGATGCCTTGATGTCACCTTCACGACGCTGGACAACCCATTTCTCCTTCTGGCGAGTCGATTTAACTTGGCAGCTCCTCCCATCACTGGGACGCCTAGTGGCCTCCTACATGACGCCATGATAACATAGGATAGCTATGACATTGGCTGGATTTAATTATATATGGTACTTTGTGTTTTTATTTTCTATATTTCCTCATCTATAGGTCCTAGCTGTAACAGAAGGGGTGCATGATGTTCACAGTATAGCAAAGGAGGCTGTGGCTTTGCATTCCTCCATGATGGAAGATTTGTCAAAGGTAATATTCTTTCTCGTATATTAGATTTTATCATTCTGACCCTAGGCTTTATTCATTCAATGTTTTTTGTGTATTTTGAAATGGTCCCCACCCAAAAGATTTCATTTGCTCTCATGTGATTATACTACCCATCCACAGATGCTTTTTCTCTTTAACTGGTCTAATTGTTCTTTTGGAATACAATTGATAAGAATCAATCATGACAATAAATTATGTAGGAATCCCTATATACGAACCAAGAACATTGTGCCATGACTAGGCGAATACTATTTTTTTAAAGACTAGTCGAATGCTATAAATATACTCCCTCTGTCCCATAGTTATCTTCACTTTACGCAAAACGAAGTGAACTTTTAAGTTTTTTCAATTCATTTTATTTGAAGATTGGTATATAAATAAAAAAAAATAAAACTTACATATTTAAAAACTAAATCAAAAGTTCTGCAAAACAAGTGTGACAAGAATATTTTATTTTATCAAATAATCAATGAAAACATACAAATAAACAAAAGTTACCATGATTTTGGAATTGGAATAGTGAAGGAAGATAATTCCGGGACAGAGGAAGTACATATTTGCGAGATTACATACAATATCTCCAAGGTATCTACTCTGTAGTCTGTACACAACCACGTAGTTCCTAAGGTAGTTATGGAAAAACCATAGCTGAATTGATTTTTTCCAACTTGAAGGCGCTATCAAACTTAACACACTGTGGTTTTGCAATAATATCAAACTAGAGGCGAGAACAATCTTTGGGGTAGTAGGAAGCTAGCCACTACTATTTCCTTTCCTTTTTTTTTCGGGGGGGGGGGGGGGGGGGGGGTNGGTGCATCAAGCCCTCAAAAAATCACATCAAAACAATGTCCTGTCTAATAATACCCAAAATCTCCAAGCAGGATATTGTATATATAAAATCTTATAGAATAGATGTGAGTCCTAATCTTAGCTACCACATTAGTAGTGGGTGTAGTGCTCACACTCACTGAGTCCATATAGATAGCATTCTGAGTTTTCCAAAGTGTGTAGATCACTAGAGCCTACAGGCTACAGCAAAATGCCACACAGCCCGCTTTGCTCATCAAACATGCTACACCATAATCTTTGCATATTTATCTGATTATGCTTCTCAAAGTAGTCATCTCCCGTTTCAAAGGCCTTGTACGAATATCCTTACACACAGTACCTGAATATGAACATCGACACAACAGATGGGCAACCTGTTACGGAAACCAATCCAGGCAATAGAAGAGAATTTCTGAGTTATATACAGATTCCCTTTTTCATTTATATTCTCAGAGCTTTTTTTCCCAATCAATTCAGGTCTGTACTATTTTACTTCCACTTGAAACTCTGCTATCGAAGGATGCTACTGCCCTGTCTGAAGCAATGGCGAAGGAGAAAGAGACAAATGCAGAGATATCACCAGTCCATGGACAAGCAATTTTCCAGTCTTACCACTCAAAAATCCAGGAAACTTATCAATCATTCAAGCCTTTGGTTCCCTTTGTTACATCATCTGTCAAAGGACTTCTATCCATGCTCACCAAGCTAGCACAATCTGCAAGTCTACATGCAGGAAACCTTCACAAAGTATTTGGCTAAACTCCCCTTAAAATGTGTTATGTGTGTTTTGATTTTCATCAAGGATCTAATCTTGTGCTACTTCATTACTTTCAGGCTCTTGAAGGATTAGGAGAAATCCAGGAAATCAGTTCAGATGATCTTAATCCATTACATCCTGATATCTTTAATCTTGATAACATTTACAACATGAAAAATGAGATTTCTGGAAGTGACGGGGAGACAGGTGAAATTTTTATTGATGTGAGCCAACTTTCGTTGAACGAAAAAGGTTGGATATCCCCCCCTGAAAGCATAGCCAGTGGCAGCTCAAATTCTGGGGTCACATCATCTCAGACAAGTCTAACAGATAATTCAAGCGGACCAGATAGCATCGAACCAATTCGTCATAGTGTTGGTGGCAGGGAGGAGCATTCTCATCTGTCCCCTTCCGCTGGAATTCCTCTTCCAAAACTCTCATCTTCTGAACCACCAATATATCAAAATATACAGGTTAGAGGCCCTGGCTAGAATATTATGTAACAAACAATAGCTTGCCTTCTTACAATTTATGTTTTTATGAAACAGGAAATTTCTGGATTGAAATTGTTGCCAAAAGTTGAAGCATTGCCATCCAGCCAAGTAAAGGGTGAGGGCACTAATGAACCTGTGTTTACAAATGCTGGAGCCTCTAGTCGGACCAGAGGTGATTTTCGAAATTTGTGTATTGTGGTAGTATTTCGTGTTTTTTTCTCTAAACTTGCAGTGATAGAGTATCCTTGCACTTTCTGTTCATTGACTCCCATCACCGTTACCCTTGCCTCTAAAAAAGAGTAGACAATCTTCTCAATTCTTAATGTTTTTACGCCTTGTAACATTGTTCTACATGTATAATTTGTTTTTCAAGGGAAAAATCATTATGCTGTGTCAATTTTGAAGCGAATGGAGATGAAATTAGATGGTCGAGATATTGTAGATGACAGGTATAAATGTACTCTGTATAATGTTTTTCAGTTTTTCAGATGACTCTTTTGTAAGACTTGTTGCAATTGTTTTACTTATGTACTTGTTTTGGGGCTGTCAGAGAGTTAACTGTGGGCGATCAGGTGGATTATTTGCTCAAGCAGGCAACCAGTATAGATAATCTTTGCAATATGTATGAGGGATGGACACCTTGGATCTGAAAGGTCTTTTAGAATTCTTCACCATCTGCAGAACTGCTTTGTTCAAGAAGTTTGGGGGCAGGAGGTCTGTTCGGGACTCTAAGAAGTACCTGGAGCGCTCGCCTATACGCATGATATGATAATGACCTCTTTGCCAAAATC